TGGCTTCCTGCTGGGCTTGACAAGTGAGGGGCCCTGGTGTGGGGGAGTCCCCAGACAGAGGCAGGTGTGAGTTGGGAAGGCCTCGGGCCACTGGGCTGGCTGGTAATGGCTGCCACATGCACACCACCCCTGCACACATCTGCACACATCTACATATGCCTGCATACATCAGCACACACGTGCACATGTCTACACTGTATACATTTGCACATGCCTGCACAGTCCTGCACACATATGCACACACCTGCACATGTCTGCACTGTATACATCCACACACACCCACATCCATCTGCACACACCTGCACACCTGCAGCGATGGGCCAGCTGGGGCTGGGAGAGAGAAGGGAGAGGACGTGCCCCTTCCCTCGCCCTCCTCCCAGCCGTCCACGTGCCAGAGACCACGAAGACAGGGAGTCCCCGTGGCACAGCTCTGGAGAGCCCAGGACAGGACTGGAGCCACAGAGCACATGCACGTGAGCACTGGACGCTTCCCAGACTGTCCCGATAGGTCCCCCAGTGGGTCCGGGAGGTAGTACAGTGGGCAGGGTGCTAGCTGGGTTCAACCCCCCACACAACAGAGGGTCTCCCAAGCTCTACCAGCAAAGTCAGTCCTGGGCACAAAGTCAGTCCCCCAAAGAACATCTCCAAGTAACTGTAGCACTGGCTTTATGGAAGTGCAATTAGCTCTTTAGCTTCTGGTACTGATGCCACCAGCGCCACCTGGTGGCCTTATGGTGAATCACACCCACTCCTGTGTGTGTATGTGTGTGTGTGTGCGCGCGTGTGTGTGCGCGCGCGCGCGCGCGCGCGTAGAGGGGGGTGTTCAGGAGTGCTTCCCCCACCTCATTTCACTTATGGCCAGCTGGGGTCCCTGGAGACCCCTCCCTGTTAAACCAGGGATTGGGAGGGGGTGATTGGGGCACATCGATTCCTCCTCCGCCACTCTCAGAGAGCTCAGCAAACTACCGAGAGTATCTCGCCTGCACAGCAAAGCCTAGCAAGCTACCCGGGACGTACTGGATATGCCAAACACAGTAACAACTAGTCTCACAATGGAGACGTTACTGGACCTGTTTTCCAAGGAGAGGGAAATTATGGAAGCATTTTAACAACTGGGGTAAGAACAGTTGTGTCTATTTACATATGTTTGCTATACTGCTGTTGATCGGTTACAGTATGGTACAGGTAAAAGATGTCATTTAAATATATCATTTATATCATGCATTTTGTTTTTTAAATAAATTTCGGTTTGGGGACCACACCCTACGATAATCAGGGGTTACTCCTGGCTTTGCACTCCTGGCAGTGCTCAAGGAACCATATGGGATATCAGAGATCCAACCAAAGAATCGAACTTGGGTCGGCTGCTGTGCCAGGCAACTGCTGTATGATCACTCCAGGCCTGATATTATCTATTTTAATAAAAATAATCATTTGGAAGTTTTGTTTCTGGCCCACACCCTGTGGCACTCAGGGCTGATTCCTGGTTCTATGCTCAGGGTTTACTCCTGGCGGGATTCAGGGAATGGTATGGGAACAAACTGGGATCAAACTGGGTATATCTATGTGCAAGGCATGTGCCTTAACTCAATCCCTGGCATCTCATATGGTTCCCCTGAACATCCCCAGCAGTGAGTTTTGTGTGCAGAGCCAGGAACCAACTCTAAGCATCACTGGTGTGACTCCAAAACAAAAACTGAATCCATAAAGATTTATTTTATTACAGTGCCTATGTGCACGTTGATTTTTGTTTGTTTGGGGGCCACACCCAACAGTGGTCAGAGTTTACTCCCGGCTCTGTGTTCAGGGAGGGACTTGGGGGATGATATGTGGGGGTTGAACCTGGGCTAGCTGTGTGCAAGGCAAGTACCTCTGTACTATCACTCTGGCCCCTCTAGTGTTTTTCACAGGGACAACAGGACCAGATGTAAGTGACGGAAGGGGACATGGTCAGGGTCTACAGTGCTGGGAAGGGAAATTAGGGCCATACTTGCTGGACATGTGAATTCTCACTAGAACTAGTTCCTATATGCATTTGGAAAGAAAGTTGTGTTTAGGGTCTGGAGCAATAGTACAGCAGGTAGGTCATTTGCCTGGCATGCAGCTGACCTGGGCTAACCCCCTGCAACCCTCTCTGGGTCCTGGAGTCATGCCAGGAATGGTCCCTGAGTGCAGAGTCAGCAATAAGTTCTGAGCATTGCCAGATGTGGCCCAAAAAACAAGAAAGAAATTGGGTTTAGGGGCTGGAGCAATAGCACAGTGGGCAAGGTGTTTGCCTTGCGCATGGCCAACCCTGGTTCGATTCCCAGCATCCCATATAGTCCCCCGAGCAGCGCCAGGAGTAATTCCTGAGTACATGAGCCAGGAATAACCCCTGTGCAACACCCGATGTGACCCAAAAGACAAAAAAAATTGGGTTTAAATTGTGTTTTGTCATGTTTTGGGGTTATACCCAACTCTGCTCATGGGGCTATTCCTGCCTTTTTGTTCAGGGGTGACCTCTGACAGTGCTCAGGGAGCACTATACAAGGAATTGAACTGGGGGTGGTTGGATGTAAAGGAGGCGCCTTAACCCCTACTCTGTATATCTGACCCCAATTTTATTATTTGTGGGGGTTAGTTTGGAGGTCACACCTGTGATGTTCAGGGCTTTCTCCTGAGTGTGTCCAGGGATCACTCCCATCACAGTTTGGGGAGCACGTTGAGGGATTGAATGGGGCCGACTGCATTCAAGGCAAGAGTTGTAGCCCCAGTACCATGTCTCCTAAATATATATAATTAAAAAATTATTATTAGTTTTTATTGAATCACCATGAGATAGTTACAAAGATTTTATGTTTGAGTTTCCATCATACAATGATCAAATAACGATCCCTTCACCAGTGCACCACCGAAGTCCCCAGTGTCTCCCCCATCCCAACCCTTCCCCTGCCTGTGTGTCAGACAATTTCCACAATACTGTCTCTCTACTTTGATTACATTCAGTATTTCCACACCGGTACCACCATTATTATTTGGAATTTCCCCGCCACTACTCAAACCTGTCAAAAGGCAATGCTAGACAATTTATTTTGTATTGTGTGTTACAAATGGCATAAGAGCATGCGGCCATGCGCTCCTGGAATTCTAAAGTTTTAGATAATTAAGGTTTGGAGAGATCTTTGCAGTGAGCTGCTCGGTTCTGAGATTCTTTTGTGCGTCTCTGGATCATGGCTGTTTAGGAGCTTAAATAGTAGCCAGAGGCAGTTTGTGGGCATCATTTCAGGGTCCCATAGGGGCAGGGGGATGGGAGGGACAGGCTCATGCCCTATCCCGTGAGACCTGGCATTTGCTGTTACTGCTTCCACGTACCTGGACTTCTCATTGGGTTCTGGAAGATGCCGTCCACAGGGATTCCTAGGGGCAGGTGGAGGGAGAGCACCTGCTCCCGTCTGGAGTAGTCGGGTGAAAGTGGCCTGGTGCAAATTTCGGAGGCATGTCTGCAGCCATCTGCTCAGTTCTGGGGTTCTTTTTTTTCTTTTTGGGTCACACCCGGCGATACTCAGGGGTTCCTCCTGGCTCTGCACTCAGGAATTACTCCTGGCGGTGCTCCGGGGACCATATCCTGCTGGTGCTCAGAGACCCAGTGGCAGGAGTTGAAGTGGGTGGGCTCAGAGTGACCAGTTCCCACCTGCACCTCGACATCAGGGTCCTGGAACGCAGCGGAGATTGGATCCCCAAAATTTCCGGGTCTAAGGGGTTCAGCCGTCACAGGACGGCAACGGGCCACTGGTGAATTTTCCCCGTGGACCTGAGGCGGGAACTCACTCGCGCAGTGACTATGGAGGGTCAAAACTGGGACCGGGTGCAGCTCCCGGGCAGGGAAAGGGCAGTGCCGGAGCGCGATTGACAAGGAGCCAAAGGAAGGAGGGAGTCCCCCTGCAAAGAGACGGGGCACCAGGGGGCAAAAGTGAGCAATACAGGGACCAAACCAAAATAAGGTCCCCCTCAGCCACGAACCAGAACCAGAACCAGAACCAGATGGCAGGTGGTAGAAGCATGAGAAAGAACCGAGCAAGGAGCGAGCAGTCAAACCGAGAGCAGAGGCTAACACAGGGGCCCGGACTGTCAGCACGGCGAGACGCCGCCGGGGCGGGGCCTGCGCGTCGGGGGCGGGGCCAGAGAACCCGCGGGGAGGGAGGACTGGAGTGAGCGGGGCCAAAAAAGCCTCTGGGGCGGGAGGACAGGAGGTGGCGGGGCCTGCGCGTCGGGGGCGGGGCCGACTCGGCGCTCTGTGACTGAGAGAAGCCGCCGAGACTGGGGGGTACTGGAGGGGGCGGAGCCTGCGCGTAGGGGGCGTGGCCAGAGAACCTGCGGGGCGGGAGGACTGTGGGGGCGGGGCTCTGTGACTGAGAGAAGCCGCCCGGGAGGGAGACCTGGAGAGGGCGGGGCCGACTCGCCGGGGGTTGGACCTGCGGGACGGGGGCGGGGCCTGGGCTGTAGGGCAACCAGGTGGCTCAGGGGAAGGGGCATGGCCTGAACGGTGGGCTAAAAGGGGCGTGTTCCGTGTGACCCGGGGAGCAGGCAGGCTCGGGGCCGAGGGGGCGGGGCCTGCGTGAATGGGATTGAGGAGGAGGGGCGGGCCTTCGCAAGCGGGGCGGGGCCTCCGGGGCGTGGAGCTGAGCCGGCTCGGCTGCGCGAGGATAAGGGGGCGGGGCCTCGCAGGCAGGGTCCCGCCCCCGGAGCGCGCCGAGTGGCCGAGTCGGGCCGTGCCGGCCAATGGGCGGCCGGGATGCTGGAGCGGCGGCCCGGGATCCCGGCGCCGTGCGAGGCGCGCGGGCGGGGGTGACGGCGGCCGCCGCCATGATGCTTGTTTGCTTTCAATGAACGCGAGGGGGGCGCGGAGGCGGCGGCGGCGGCGGCGGCGGCGCGGCGGCGGGGGGCGCGGCGCGGAGGGCGCGGCCGGGCGGGCGTAGCGGCGGCCGAGACGGCGGCGGCGGCGCGCGGAACAAAGAGCGGCGGCGGCGGGGACGGGCATGGTGCGCGCTCGGGCCGGAGCCCGCGGCACCCCCCGGGAGGCGGTGGCGGGCGGCGCCCCGCGGCAGGTGAGGCGCGCGGGCCGGGCCGGGAGGGAGCACCCGCGGTCGCCCCGGCTCGTCTGGGCGGCCCCACGCGAGTGTGGGGTCCCGGGACGCGGGGGAGGCGGGTTTTTGCGGGCGCCCCGGACGCGGCCCGTCCCGAGCGCCCGCCCCGCGCCCGAACTCCTCCGCGCCCCCCCGCGCGCCGACTGGGTCTGCTCTGGAGAAACTTTCCTGCACGCCCCTCTGCGGCCTCCCCGAGCCCCCCTCCAGCCCCGCCGGGCGAGGAGCCGCCCGCGAGGTCCCGGCCTCCCGCGGGACGCAGCTGGCGGGGCTGTCCGCGGGCTCCCGCCGCCGTGGACCAGCCCGTGCGTGGGGCCGCTGCAGCAGGGAGGTCGTCTCGGGTCTGGCTGCGGCGCTGAGGGTTCCCCACTGCCCGGGAGGGGTGAAAGTTAATCTGGGGAAGCCAAGCCCCCCCCCTCCCGATTTCCAGGGACGAGCTGATCGGGCTCGTGCAGAATCTCCCTGCGCCCCTGATGTGGCTGAAGTTGTCCTTTGGAGAGGAGAGGGGGAGAGGAGACAGGGCTGGTGACGGAGTGAGGGGTGCTTGGTTCCGGGGGTGCTTCCAGACCTAGAACTTAGTTTGGGGAACTCGACTGGCGCATGTGCCTATTGACGCAAAGGCTTGCGATGCATCCAAATACGGTTTTCTGAGTGAAATTGACTGGTGGAAGGGCCTGGGATGCCCTCAGTGGGCCTTTGCCTTGCATGGGAGACCCTGGTAAGCCCCAGCTCTGTTACAAGCAAAACCATCACCATGTTTAGATCACTGCTTTCATTTCTGGATTTGGCTTTTGTGTTTTGGGGCCACCTCTGGCAGTGCTCAAGGCTTCTTCCTGGTTCTGTGCTCAGGGCCCACTCCCAGTAGGCTCGAGGGACCCTGTTGCGTGCAGGGAGTTAGGCTGAGAACAGATGCACAAGGGATAGCTGTCCTGCTGTGCTGTCTGCCAAGTCCCAGGCTCAGTGCTCTTCCGGGACACAGTTTCAGAGCAGCCCCTGCAGAGGCTAGGGGCTCCAACACAGTCGGGTGATCCACCCAGGCCCCTGGAGCAAGACCCAAGGAGTCACTGCGGTTCATTGGATTTTTTAACCCCCTTTTTGTTTTGGGGCCACACCTGGCAGTGCTCAGGGCTTACTCCTGGCCCTGCGCTCAGGATCAGTCCTGGCAACCGTGGGGAACCATGTGGGATGCCAAGAATCTAACCTGGGCTGACGGGTGCAAGGTAAACACTATCTACAGCACTGTCTCTCCGGTTCCCGTTCGTTCATTTGAGAAGGCTGAAGGTTTTCGAATCTTGTCTCTCCTCCCCATTGGTGAACAAGACAATGACAGTTGCTGAGAAAGACACAATTCCAACATATCACTGACATTTTGCAGCCCATCCATGTCCAAAGAAATTACGGGGGGTGGTGCAGGAGGGTCCGCACAGTTGCCTGGAGGTGACTCCTTGAAACATACAGCAGAACCTCCTGTATTCCAACCCTTTGAGCTTGGCACCATCTTCCTGCCACTGACAGTTGGTCAGATTCAGGGACATACGACTAAGGACTACGAATGTAGCCTGCCCACAGGGCAGAGTCTGGCAAACTCCCCGTGGCGTACCCAATATGCCAAATACCAGTAACAATGATGGGTCTCATTCTCCTAAAGAGCCTTGAATATAATCTCAGGGCTAGGATGAAAGAGACGTTACTGGGGCCTGCTCGAGGCAATCGACGAATAACAGGATGATGAATGAATGATGAATGAAGGACTAAGGACACAGTTTGTGAATACCTCTTCTATGGTATTTGTAATCTTGGTAGACATCTAGAAACACCTTTTTATTTATTTTGTTTTGGGGGCCATACCAGGCAATGCTCAGGGGTTACTCCTGACTTTGCACTCAGGAATTAATTCCTGGCCCAGCTCTGGGGACCCTATGGGGTGCTGGGAAATCTGAGCCCTAGGCAAGCAAGGTAAGCGTCGTCTCCGCTGTACTATTGCTCTGGCTCTGATTTTATTTTATTTTGTGGGTGTGGGGAGTTAGGCTCACCCCTCACTCCCTCTCAGAACCCACTTGTATGTGTCACTTCTCCCATTGTGTTGCGTTTGGCCCCTTGTTGTTACCTGACTGTGTATCTTTAAGTCCCACAGATAAGAGAGATCATTCTTTTTATTTATTTGTTTATTTATTTATTTTGCTTTTTTGGTCACACCCAGCGATGCTCAGGGGTTACTCCTGGCTCTGCACTCAGGAATTACACCTGGTAGTGCTTGGGGGACCATATGGGATGCTGGGAATTGAACCCGGGTTGGCCGCGTGTAAGGCAAGCACTCTACCCGCTGTGCTATCACTCCAACCCCGAGGTCATTCTTTTTTAAAAAAATTTATTTATTTTTATTTTGGAGCCACACCCGCTGATCTCAGGGGTTACTCCTGGCTCTGCATTCAGGAGTCATTTCTGGCGGTGCCCTGGGGACCCTAAGGAATGCTGGGCATTGAACCTAGGTCTCTGTGCAAGGCAAGTGCCCTCCCTGCTGTACTGTCGCTCTGGCCACCGAGAGAGGTCATTCTGTCTCTGTCCCTTTCCTCCTGATCCACTCAACATGATACCTTCTAGTTCCGTGTTGCTATAAATTGCATGATTTTGCTCTTTTATTTTGTGAGGGGACACCCCCAGCAAGCTCAGGACTGACCCCTTTGCTCTGCTCAGGGATCACTCCTGTCAGGCTCAGTGGACCATATGGGATGCTGGAGTTTGAAACTGGGTTTGCCATGTGCAAGACAAGCGCTGTCCTGCTGAACTATCCCTCTGGCCCTGTGATTTTGCACTTTCAGCTGCGTAGTACTCCTTCGTGTATCTCTTACTGTGATCAGCTTTCTCGATCATTTCACCTGTAATTGGAATTTGGGTTGTTTCCTGTTCTTGGCTGTTGTGCTAAGTGTGGTGGTGAACATAGGTGTGCATGTGTCCTTGAGAATGAAGCTTTTGGCCTTTGGGGGATAGATGTCAAGAGGTGGTACTGTTGGGTATATTGGTATATTAGGAACTGCAGTTATTGGGGCTATTTCAGACTCTCCTTCTGGCCATGGGCAGCTGGCTCCTGACTTCTGCTAGAGGGGTGGGAGAACTTTGCCTGCTGTCCAGGTAGTTTAGAAATGTTTGTGGGGCCGAAGCGCTAGTTTAGTGGGGAGGACGCTTGTCTTACATCCCTGGCATCCCATAGGATGATCTTGAGTACCACCAGGAGTAAATCTTGAGTGCAGAGCCAGAGCCAGGAGTATGCCTGGAGCACTCCCAGGGGATGGCTCGGAGGCCAAAAAAGAAGAAAAAGAAATTAAAGGAGCTAGAGTGATAGTACAGCGGGTAGGGCGCTTGCCTTGCACGTGACCGACCCAGCTTCGATTCCCAGCATTCCATATGGTCCCCTGAGCACCATGAGGAGTAATTCCTGAGTGGAGAGCCAGGAGTAAACCCTGTGCATTGCCGGTGTGACCCTCCTCCCCCCCCAAAAAAAATTAAATGTTTGCTGCTTTGGGACACTGCTCTATTGGGGGGGGGGGTTGGAAGGATGGGGGCAGGGAGCCATTCAGGAATGCCTCATGTGGGACTGGAGTTATAGTACAATGGGGAGGGCACTGACCTTGTACGTGGGTGACTGGGGTTCGATTTCCGGCATTCCATTTGATCCCCTGAGCACCAGGGGTGATTCCCAAATGCAAGAATTCCTCGTGAGCAAGGGATTCTGGAATCAGCCATCAAGCCGGCAGTAAGAATTTGCTTTTCCTTTGGGCACGTGAGAAGAGGGCATTGATCTGGAGGGGACTTTGTCAACGCTCCCCACGTGCTGCGGGCACTGCTCAGCTCTGCTTTCTTTTTCTAATTTTTAATATTTGGTTCACACCCAACCCCCCAAATTAGGGCTCACTCCTGGTTCTGAGCTTATGGTTCACTCCTGGTCAGCCTCGGGACCCTGTGCAGTGCCAGGGATCGAACCTCGGGTTAGCTGTGTGCAAGGCAGGTGCCCTTACTTGCTGTCCTGTGGCTCTAGCCCCACTGAAGTGTTCTTGAATGTCTCTAAGAAGGCCCTGGTCAGCTCTGCTTTGAAGGCACTGATCACTGGGGGAAAGGTGCAGAAACTTTTTGCAGGGGCGGTGGGGTATGAGCGGCGTGTGGGCCACACCTGGCAGTGTTCAGGAGTCTCTCCTGACTGCTGGGACCCTGTGGGGTACCAGGATTGAACCCAGGTCAACTGTGTGCAAGGCAGATACCTTCCCCACTGTCTTCTCTCTGGCCCCAGAAGTGTTCATTTTAAGCCCAGATGTGATTAAAAGACTGAAGGTGGACTTAAAAAAATGCTGGAGACCCCCGCATTGTATAGGAACCCCCCCATAGGAATCCTGGTAAGAGTCCTTCCTGAGCATTGGCTGGGCATGGCCCCCAAACCTCAGAAAGACATGCTGTACAAATTAAAGTGGCCACTTCTGTGTCTACCCGCTATAAATTCCAGATTTCAGTATTGACTCAAGTAATTGGGGAGAGGATAATTTAGGTTCAGCGTGGGATCTTGTGAGATGGCCTGCCCTGAGCTCTCTCTGACCTGCCCCTCTGGATTTGCCTTTCCCGAATCTATTCCTGGCTTAGGGGTCAGTCACCAGGCCAGGGAAAGGCAGAAGTAGGACAAAGGTAGGACCAGAAAATTCAAGTAATAGTGTCTGCCTTCTTGGGGGGTCCCCTACCCCGTCTGGAGACATGGGATCATTGACAGGTGATGATGGTGAAGAGTTGGTGGCAGTTAGGGTGAGGAGCACAAAAGGGCCCAGTGCTGGGGTGAGCCCAGGCCATCTGGGTTGAGATTCAGGGAGAGCCAGAGTAAAGAGAGCCATCAAAAGTGCCCAGCCTAGGTTTTGTGGGTTTTTGTTTGGTTGGTTTTTGAGCCACACCTCGAGGTCCTCGGGGATCACTCCTGGTAGGCTTGGGGGGCTAAGTAGGGTGCCGGGGATCGAACCCAGTTTGGCCGCATGCAGGACGAGCATGTTACCTCTGTACTATATCACTCTGGTCCTGATAGCCTAGATTTTGCAAGAGCAAATGGGGAAGCTAAAAAGGAAGTTAGCGAAGTTGACTCTCTTGGAGCAGGTAAAGGTACAGGCCCTCCCGTTGATCGTCGATTTGCTCAAGCGGGCCCAGTAACGTCTCCATTGGAGACCTTGTTGTTACTGTGTCTGGCATATCGAATACTCTCGGTAGCTTGCCGGGCTCTCCGAGAGGGGCGGAGGAATCGAACTCGGGTCGGCCATGTTGGCCGCGTGTAAGGCGAACACCCTACCCGCTGTGCTATCGCTCCAGCCTAAAATACTCCAGCAGGGAAGCAAGAGGATTGAGGGGTGTGGAAAATCCAGAGGCTTTTTTTGTTGTTGTTATTGGGCCACACCCAGCTTGTTTAGGACATAATCCTCCATCTGTGCTCAGGGATCGTCCCTGACAGAGCTGGGAGGCCCTAAGCAGTGCCAGGGATTGAACCCAGGTTGACCATGTGTGAGGCAAGTGCTCTGGCCCCCCTGAAATTTTTTTCACGGGGCAAGCCTGCATTTCTTGGGAGTTGGGGGGTTCTTGTCTTTCTCGTGTTTGTCTCTTTGGGGCCCAAGGATGCGGCCTGATTGTTGGAGGATGCAGGCTGACTTTGGAGAATGTCAGGATGTTTGGGAGGAAGTTGAAAGCCGTGAGAACAATGAACCCCACATGCTGGTGTGCAGGAAAGCTCCCGCTTGTTCAGAGAGCCGGTCTGCTCTGGTCCAAGGACAGAAGCTCTGATCGTGGGGCCTCTGCCTGCTGGAAGGGGGGCACTCTGAGTTTCTGGGTTCTGACTCCTCTGCTGACATGTTTTTCAAGGTGAACCAACTCTTGAGCCTCCAGGGGCCTGAGACCTGGGGGGTTTGGGTTGATCCCCGCACCACACAAAAAGAAAAACAAAAGGAAGAAAAATTGTGGGTGTGAGGGCAGAATTCTCTCTAGTCCATGATTGGGTTTTGGTTTTGAGGGGCATACCCAGCTTCCTCTGCGTCTGTGCTCAGATTTCCTTTTGGGCAGACCTCTGGGGACCTTGTGCAGTGCCTGGGATTATTCAGTTATTCAGTGTGCCACATGCAAGACCTTCCCCTCTGTACTTGCGCAAGCCCGTGATTTAGGGTTTTTTTTTTTAATTAATTTTATATTTTTTAATTGAATCACCGTGAGATACACAGCTGCAAAGTTGTTCATGATTGGGTTTCAGTCATGCAGTGTTCCAACACCTGTCTCTTCAGTGTACAGTACCACCACCAGTGTCCCCAGTTTGCCTCCACCAACCTTGCCCCGCCTCTGTGGCAGTTACTCCTCACTACTCTCTCTCTGGGCGTTATGATTTGCAATACAGGTACTGAATGGTTGTCATATCTATCCCTTATGATTGGAAGTTTTTTTTTGGGTTTGTACCAGTGATTCTTAGTGATTACTCCTGGCTCTGCCCTCAGGAATGACTCCTGGCAGTACTCAGGGGACCATATGGGGTGCTGAGAATTGGACCTGGGTCAGCTGCATGCTGTCCTATGGCTCTGGCCACTCCCCCTTAACTTCCTTTAAGTCCTCTGGCTCTGCAGTCTCTGTGGATGAGAACATTTCAAATCTAAGCTCAGGGCACCCGTATTAAAGATGATGAGTGACACATAAAAGCAAAAAAAAAAAAAATCCAGAAGGCTTATGAGGTCAGGATTCTAACCTAGGCAGTAACTGAAGGGTTCTGCACAGCTCAGAGCGGGGATGGGAAACTCTGGTGTTTTGTTTCTTTGGGGCGGGGGGGGGGGGGGATTGTTGTTTGGGCCACATCTGTCAGTGCTGAGGGCTAACTCCTGCCTCTGCTGTGGGTTCCCCAGGGGATGGAGTCCAAGGCGGCCACGTACAAGGCCAGCACCTTCCTGGTGACCTGTCTAGCATGTAATGGGCCTTTTGAAGTGGGCCAGCCGGCGCAGCCTGTAGTGGGTGTGACTGGACTGACTAGGCGGGAGGGTGCTCAGTCAGACACACATGCCTGGGTGAGTGGGGCTGGATGGACGCTGGGGAGGAGGCTGCAGAGGCACACAGCAGCATCCCTTTCCTCCCTGGCCTGCGTGGGCTCTGGATCTATCAGTCATCACCCAGCTGCAGGCCAGAGCCATGGTTCATCTGGAAGGGTGCTCGCCTTGCATGTGGCTGACCTGGGTTCAAACCCCAAGCTCCACAAACACCCAGCCTCGTGTCTTTGATGGCAGGTCTGTGGCAGCTCATGGGGACAGCAATGAAGGCCCAGGAGTGAGCCCTGAGCCCAGAGCCAGGAGTGACCTCCGAGCTTCTCTAGGTATGGGACACCACACCCACCCCACCCCGCCTCTAAAACGAAGTAAAGAGGATGGAGGCTAGGAGACTTTAGGTGCAAGGTCAGTGCCTGCCTTTTGGGTGGGAGAGTGGGGAGATCTGTCTGAGGGGTGGCTGGAGCAACAGTTTGGGGGCGGAGCCGTAACAGGGAGGGCTTGAGGGACTATCCCGGCAGGGTTCCACTCCAGGAGTTCCTGAGCATCACCCATGTGGCCCAGAACAAACCAAAACAAGGGTGCCAACTTGGGTGCAGAGGACAGGCAGGTGGCCTGAGGCATTTGGGGATGGGTTGGCTGAGGATGAAGAGGCCACATGGCCTAGAATGCAGAGCTGAGGTCAGGGTCATGCATGTGGCTCCCGGGGTACCAGGGAGATGTTGATCCGGGTGCCAGTTCTGGGCATCGGGGACTATGTGGGACTGTTTCCTTCACGGACTTCCTGGTGTTTGTTTTTGTGTTTTGGGGCATACTTGTGTTGCTCAGAGCTGACTCCCTGGCTCTGTGCTGGCTCCTGGTGGACTTGGGGGCCCCTTTGTGGTGTAGGGAATTGTGTCAGGCAAGTGTTTTCTGAGTACTGTGCATACAGCTCCCTGCTGGTGATTCTCTGATTGCTGTACCTCAGAAGTAATTTGCATTAAATTTTTTTCTCTCCTTTTTTGGTTTTTGTTTATTTTGGGGCCACACCCAAAGATGTTCAGGGGTTACTCCTCGTTCTGTGCTCAGAAATCACTCCTGGAGGTGCTCAGGGGGGACCCTGTGGGATGTTGGGGATTGAACCCGAGTTGGCCACATGCAAAGTAAACATCTTTTTCGCTGTCCTGTTGCTCCGGTCCCTCATGTCTTTTCTTCCCCCCCCCCCCTTTTTTGTTTTTGCACTATATCTGGCAGTATTCAAGAGTTCCTCCTGGCTCTGCACTCAGGAATCACATCTAGTGGGTTCAGGGGACCCTTTTGGGATGCCGGGGATCGAACCTGGGTTAACTGTGTGCAAGACAAACGACGAACGCCCTTCCCACTGTACTGTCGCTTTGACTGTCTTTTTTTCATGTCATTAATTTGTTGAAGAACCTGAGTCTTCCGTCATCATATCAAAAGTTTGATACTCTGCATCTGGCCAGCTGTATCTCTGGCAGTATTTTTCAAAATTAATTGAAAAATTCACTCAATTCCGGTGACAGATGTGCCATCAAATATGTTACATTTTATAGTAAATGTAGTACATTTATTTAGTACATGTATCATTGTAATGTAGTGGGGCCTCAAACTTGCAAAGTAAGTGTTTGTTCCATGCTGAGCCACAAGCTTTAGCTATCTTATTCATATTTTGGCTTTCAGGTTTACTCTGTGCTCTGTGCTCAGGGCTTATCACTTTTGCCAGGACTTGGGGGGTCCTACACAGAGCAAGGGATTGAACTGGAGTGGGCTGTGTGCAAGGTCAGCATCCTATCTGCAGGTTTATTTCTCTGGCCCCGTATTTGAAGTGCTTGGTTTAATCCTGCTAGGTGTATTTCCATTGGTGTGCTTTAGGTAATTTTGAACAGATCCATTTCCTTACTTCCTCTGCAGTGGTACCATATGTAGAGAGTGACCTCGTTAAGATCCACTGTTTTAGGGCTGTAGAGATAGTACAGCAGGTGGGGCACTTGCCTTGCTCATGGTCAAACAGGGTTTGATCCCGGCATCCCATAAATTCCCCAAGCACCACCAGGAGTGACTCCTGAGTACAGAGCCAGGAGTAAACCGTGAGCATCGCTGGTTGTGACCCGAAAAGCAAAACTAAATTAGTAAATGAAGGTTCCTGAATAAGGGAGCAAGGGCTTAAAGGGATCTTAGTCCGAAAGTGGAGTCTTGATGGTGCTTTCTTGCTTTCAGGGGGATGGCACGGGCAGCAGTGCTCAGGGTTACTCCTGGTTCTGCACTTAGTGCTCTGAGGATCATATGTAGTACCCGGGATTGAACCCAGGTTGGCCACATGCAAGGCAAGTGCCTTCCCCACTGTCCTGTCCCTCTCGGCCCTTTCCTTTCCTGGAGCTGAATACTCCATTTTTCTCCAAGGAGCTCGTAGTTTTTTTTCCTAGGAAGTAGTATTTCGAGAATAAAATATGGGTGTCAAGGAGGGCAGCGAGCGGGGAGCAACTGTTTGGCCCTACCCCTGGGGTGTTTGGGGCTTACTCTGGTGCTGAGGAGGAGTGCCTGGAGGTGTTGGGAAACCCTTTGGGGTGCCAGGCAGATGCTCTGACCTGCCCTGACCCGCTGTCTTCCCTGGCCCATGGGGCGTCCCTATGCGAATCCCAGATGTGCTGTGGTTTGGTTGGTTTCAAACCCTGACGGGCTTCTCCCCTTGCTCCCACAGGCATGCCCAAAGAAAAATACGACCCCCCCGGCCCCCGGAGAATGTACACGATTATGTCCCCTGAGGAAGCGGCCAGTGGGAAGAAGGCGCAGTGGGCCGAGCTGGAGATCAGTGGTGAGGCTCTAGATGGGGCTTGGGGCTTGGGGCTTGGGGCTGGGGGGGGGGGCTGGCGGGGGGGATGCTGTGGGACAGACCTCAGACTGGCATTCCGCCACCAGTTCCAGAGTTTGTTGTTGTTTTGGTTTTGTTTTATTTTTCTTTGTGCAGCACCTGGCTGTGCTCAGGGCTGGCTCCTGGCTCTGCACTCAGGAATCACTCCTGGCTGGTGTCAGGACCCCTGGTCAGCTGTGTGCATTCCAAGGGCTGTGCCTGCACAACTGTCACTCTGGCCTTTGTCTGAACATCTTGGCACATCACTGACCCAAAAAGAAAATGAAGGTTCTAGCCCATGATTGACCCAGTGCTTGGTTCGATGATTGAATTGTCTCAGCAAGTCAGTCCATATTTTTGCATGACAGGCAGTCGCTTTCCCTGTGGGGCAGGGAATTTGGGTTTAAGCTGGGAGAGATTTGTTTCTCTTCCTTCCCTTCCCCTACCCCTTTCCCCTCCCCTCCCCTCGCTTCCCTTCCCTTCTTCCCTCCTCTCCTTTTCCATTCTCCCTCCTCCCCTCCCTTTTCCCTCTCCTTCCCTTCTTTTTTTGGTGTTTGGGCCTCACCCATCAGTGTTCAGGTCTTACATTCAGAAATCACTCCTGGCAGTGCTTAGGGGACAGTATGGGATACCAGGGATTGAACCCTGGGTCAGAGGTATGCCAGGCAAGCATCCTCCGTGTTGTACTATCAGTCTGGCCCCTCTCCCTTGGATGTTGGTGGGCCCCACAGGTGGCTTACGCAAAGTGTGGAGGAGAGACAGTCACTTTCTCCCAATCCGCCTCTGCCACCCGGGACCCAGGGTTACTGGGTTCTTGTCTCGCCTTGCAGAAAAGATTTTCATGAGTAGACAAGCAGTGAAGTGAAACGGATTTTATTTGGAGGTTTTGAAGGGGGAAGGAGGAAGAGAAAGTGGGAGAGAGTTTTGAAGGGAAGGAGGAAGAGAAAGTGGGAGAAAGTGGAGAGTAACAGGATTAAGAGAGAACCCAGTTTTTTCCAAGGGTGGCGAGAGCCCCTCCGCCCCCCACACATATCCCAGCGTTAGACATGAAAACACATATCTCAAGAGGGGAGATGCAGGTGACATGTGTTTGGCCACGTGGGCGCAAGTATCACATGGGCTCGGGCAGCATACGCACACCCTTCCTTTGTTCAATGTGACTTTTATAGGGTTTTTCCAACTTGCCCCCACATGGGGCTTCTACCTAGATAAGAGTCCCTTGCTAGGGTTGTTGCTAGGTGGGTAGAATTTGGTATGACCTTTGAAACTCCTTTTCTTGACCTTTGTTCCTGCTGGAGCTGGAGGGGGGGGGGTGGTCAAGCCTTCTCTGGTCTGAGTGCTAATCGGATTAATGGAAGGAACTGAGGGTTCTCCAGTAATTTTCTTAGGTTCTTTCTGTAGAAGGGGTCCAGTCTCATCAGGTTCTTGGTTTTTTTTTGTATCCACAAAGTGGGTCATATTTAGGACTAGTGGCTTTATTACTTCCAGAAATTTCATTGCCATCATGTGGGGGGAGGGGCAGGGAATGGGGGGGTTTCCCTAACCTACCTGCCTGCATCATCTTGTTTTCTTAATTTGCTTTTCAGCCTGAGTGACTTCAGAAACACAAAATCTTACAGATTTGCTTGGTGGATTTTGATTTTGTTTTGGGTCGTTCTCAGCACATACTCCTGATTCTGTGCTCAGGGATCACTTCTGAAAGGGTTTGGCAGACTCCATATATACTCAGGATGGACCCTGAGTCAGGCACCAGTTGGATTTTTTGAGTGGTGTGGGGGGGCCACATCTGTCAGTCTTTAGGGCTGGCTTCTGACTCTACACTTAGGAGTCACTCCTAGTGGGCTCAGGGGACTATCTGGAGTGCCGGAATTGAACATGGGTCGGATTCATGCAAAGCAAGCATCCTACCTGCTGTACTCCAGTCCTGATATGATATTTTTTTAAAGGTCCATACTGAGCATATCAGTACCTAAGACATATTACAATTGTGGTAGCTTAAGTACTGATGATGGTTTCAGACCTGCACCATTCCAATATCACCCCCATCACCAGATTATGCGCTTTCCTCCACCAAGGTCTTAAAGGTACCTCCCCTTCAAACACCTCAAATCTTCCATAGTTTTCTGGACCAACTCTTCAGTTCTATTGCCTTTGGCCTTTGGCTGCTACCTAATTGTGTAGATCCATTTTTAATTATTTGGATTTGGACTCACACCCGGCATTGCTCAGGACTTCCTTCTTACTGTGCTCTCAGGGATCACTCTCGGCGGGCTCATCGTCCCTATGGAGTGCCGGCGATCCAATCCAGGTCAGCCATGTGGAATGCAAACACCCTCCCTGCTGTGCTACGGCTCCAGCCCTTACTTGTACTTGTTTTGTTTCTCTTCTAGGAAAAGTCCGAAGCTTAAGCTCCTCGCTGTGGTCTCTGACTCATTTGACCGCTTTGCATCTGAGCGACAATTTTCTGTCTCGCATCCCATCAGACATTTGCAAGCTGCACAATCTGGCATATCTGGACCTGTCCTCAAATAAAATCCGGAGTTTGCCAGCAGAACTCGGGAACATAGTATCACTCAGGTATATGGATTCCTGGCCTTAATTCTGTTACCACACCCCTGAGACAAAAAACCACAACCTTTTCTTGTTAGAACCTTCTTGATCTTGGAATGGTATCTGGGCCAGAGAAAACTGAGGTGTAGCCTTTTTGGCCAGTTTTTGGGGAAAATTGTGTCAAGCAAATAAAAAAATCAATGGGACCGGCGAGATAGTATAGCGAGGAGGACACTGACCTTGCATGGGGCTGAGGTTTGATCCTGCGCACCCCATAGTGTCCCCTGAGACAGTCAGGAGTGATCGATCAGCCCAGAGCCAGGAGTCAGCCTCGTGCACCACCAGGTATGAGTCAAACCCCCTCCCCTCACTCTGCCAAATCAAGCTGATCTGTGTTTGGTGGTTGCTGTTGTATAATGTGCTTTATTCTGACACCAAATCTGTGGGGTGAGCCAGTGAAAGCGCTAGTATTTTTACTCCTGTCTCTGCACTCAGGAATTACTCCTGGCGGTGCTCAAGGTACCATTTGGGATGCTGGGGATCGAACCCAGGTCGGCAGCATGCAAGGCAAATGCCCTACCCGCTGTACTATCACTCCAGCCCCAGTGCTAGTATTTTCCAACTTACCACTTGCTATGCCAACAAGTCTTTTCCCCCACAATGCTGGGGTGACTGGAGTCAGGATCCAGAAAACTGTAGCCATAAATTCCATGAAGAATTCTTTGCTCTTTTGGGTTTTACCACCTCCGAGTCCTGAAACCTGAACTTGAGAAAAGCTAGAACTATTCCTTGAGGGGCTGGAGCCATAGAACAGAGGGGAGGATGCTTGCCTTGCATTGAAACAACCCAGGGTTCAATCCCTAGCACCAAATACAATTCCCCCGAGCACTGCAAAGAGTGATTCCTAAGCACAGAGCTAGGAGTAAGCCCTGAACATACCCACTTAGGACTCAAAGCCCAAAAATAATAATAGGAATAATAATTAGTCCTTGAATGTGGGGTTCCAATTTTAGTATATGCTGCCGAGGAGAGCCCGGCAAGCTACCGAGAGTATCTCGCCTGCACGGCAAAGAGCCTGGCAAACTACCCATGATATATTCAGTATGCCAAACACAGTAACAGTGACAGACAGAATGTGGGGTGCTGCCATGTTGGGGAGGATTAGGAGGTGGTCACACAGCGTTGAGGCTAAAATTCAGAGCCTGCTGTCCCCAACTGGTTTGGTTTTTGTGTGACCTTCTCCAAGTGTGTATTTCCTCTTGGCTGAATCTGCCCTGGTTCCTTCCTTGGGCCTCATCCAAGACAGAGATCAGAGAGATCCTGAGTGGAAACTGGTTTCATTGGTCACTGCCGTAGGGTCTTTTTTGTTCTTTGTTTTTTGGGGGGCGGGGGTTTGAATGACTTCTTTCCTTACAGGCCACCTGAGTGGCATCTGAAAGCCAAGTCCAGCTTTCAGAATCCCTGTGGGAAATTCTTACTGCACTCTGTGGCCTGCATCCTCTCCTCAGTTCCATGGCTTCTAGAAAAAGGAGCTTCAAAGGTCGGAAAGAGAGAGGGAGGAAGAGAGAAGGAGAGGGTAGCGGGTAGGGTGCATGACTTGCACACAACTGACCTGCATTTGATCCCCGGCACCCTATAGTGATCCCTGAGTGCAGATTCTAGATTCTGGAGTAGGCTTTGAACATTGCTAGGTGTGGGTCCCAAAACCAAAAGAAAATAAAAAAGGACCTTTGCAGTTTTTTTTAACCATTTTTGACCTTTTTGGGGCATAATTATTAAGTAATATTCTATATTTAATCCAAATAAATTCACTTATTTCCTTTTTCACACTCCTTTCCTGCGTGGTGTATTTGGAAATCAATAGGAACCAATTAGAGCTAAGTTTTCTTTTCTTGTTGGGTCACACCAGACTATGCTCAGGGATCACTCCTGGCAGTGCTCAGGGGACTGTATGGGATGACGGGGATTGAACCCAGGTGGGCCATGAGAGTACACACACGCCACACATACCCCACCCCACCCCTGTCCACACACACACACAGCACACACCCCACACCACACCTACCCCCATCCCCAGCCTGGGAAACTCCTGTGATTGAACCAGGCGGGCCATGAGAGAGTACTTGTGTACACACACACACACCACACACACACACACACACACACACGCCCACAACTCACACCACACCACCCCCACCCCTGTCCCCAGCTTGGGAAACTCCTGTGGCAATTTTGGCCATGCTGTGAGCAGAGAGTGCAAGTCCTCACTCATACACACACATGCGTCCATCCCTAGCCTGGGAAACTGGCCATGATTGTGGCTGTGCCATTGAAGTGATGCTCTCCCTGGTGTCCTGGTTTTTCATCGATCATCTGACTTCTGCCTTTTTTTTTTTTTTTTTTGCATCAACAGGGAACTCCATTTAAATAACAACCTGTTACGAGTTCTGCCTTTTGAGCTGGGAAAACTGATTCAGTTGCAGACGTTAGGCCTGAAAGGTATGCTTTCCCTGTGTCTGTGTGTCTGGAGGTTTATGTGTATGTCATGGCGTCTGGAGCCCTAAGAGAGGGGCATCTCTTATTTCCCAGGAGTTTCAAGCTCCCACCTGAAACTCTGTACGCTTGTAGTGCCATGGATGTTGTCCCCTTTGTCCCACGCTCTCTCCCTGCCCCCTCTCATCCTGTCTTCCTGCCTGTTCTGATTGCCTCCAGTTTTGACCGTCTGCCCTCTTTCCATCATTTCCCTCTGCCTGGCTTCATCTTGGAAATGATTCTGCATCCTAGAAATGGTTTCCTCCCACCCTCCAATTCTCCCCCAAACAGTCACTTCTTGTAGAGTGGGGGGAAATTGAGAAATTAAACATGAGGCACTTTGGTGTTGACCAGCGTGCCCACTGTGGGCCAGAGAGCTAGAACTGTGAGGCAGGCACTTTCCTTGCCTGTGGCTGACCGGAGTTTGATCCCTGGCACTACATAGGGGCCTTGAGTACCACTAGGAGTAATCCCAGAGTACAGAGCCAGGAGTCAGCCCTGAGCACTTCTCTCCTCCCCTGCCCCCCCCCCCCCCCCCAATAAAAACAAAAACTTGACCACCATTGAGAATTTGATTACTGTGTCAGAGAGGCTGGATGTAACTGATTGCAATAAGTATTGGCAAGGGCCAGAGAGAGGACAGTGGGGCAGGTGCTTGCCTTTCACACACCCAAGCTGGGTTCATTCCCTGGTACCCTATAGGGTCCCCTGAGCCCCTCCAGGAGTCATCCCTGAGCACAGAGTCAGGAGTCACCCAGAACACTGCTAGGTATGGCCCACAAACCAAAATTCCCATGCCCCTCCAGGAGGGATTCCTCAACACAACCGGAGCTAGCCTTGAGCTCCACCGGTGCCAGCCTTCCCTTCCAAAAATATCAGGGTAAAGGTAAAGGTAAAGGCCCTCCCGTTGTTCATCAATTTGCTCGAGCAGGTCCAGTAACGTCTCCATTGGAGATTTTGTTGTTACTGTGTTTGGCATATCGAATACATCACGGGCGGCTTGCCAGGCTCTGCCCTGCCGGCGAGATACTCTCAGTAGCTTGCCGGGCTCTCCGAGAGGGGCGGAGGAATCGAACTCGGATTGGCCATGTTGGCTGCGTGCAAGGCAAACGCCCTACACAAAAAACAACGAAGAGATACATCAGTGCTTTTTCTTTCTTTTATTTTAGTTTTTGGATCACAGCCGGTGATGCTCAGAGATCACCCCTGGCTCTGCGTTCAGGGGTTTCTTCTGGTGGTGCTTGGGTTGAACCAGCACAGCAATCAACCCCCCAGGTCAGGTGCTTACAAAGCAGGAAGAAAGATTATTTCTGCAGCAAGGTTGTGATTTTGATGCAGCTCAACTTACCTTTTTTCCCCCTACTGTTTCTAGATCCTACGTTTGTTGTCAAGACTTGTAGAGTGGGTCTCGATCCTAAAGATTTTCATTGGCGGGGGAACCCTGGATGGTGCTGGGCACCAAACCCTGGTCATCTGCACATGGGCAAGGCCGTTGTACTTTCCAGCTCTTTAATTTCTGTCGGCTGATTTTGTTTTTCTCTATTTTTTTTGTTTTGCTTTTTGGGTCACACCTGGCGGTGCACAGGGGTTACCCCTGGCTCTGCACTCAGGAATTACTCCTGGTGGTGTTCAGGGGACGATATGGGATGCTGGGAATCGAACCTGGGTTGGCCGCGTGCAAGGCAAACGCCCTACCCGCTGTGCTATTGCTCCAGCACCTCTCTTTGGTTTGTTTTTGGGGCTATACCTGGTGAATCCCAGGGCTTCCTCCTGTCAGGCATGGGCCATCTGGGAGCACCACAGATAGGACCAGCAGCAGGCCCTGTGTGCTGCTGGTCCAGCCCTATGTGCTGATTCTGAAAGGGTAACTTTTGGCTTTTGGTATCAAGGTGATCTTGATACCAAAAGAACTTGAAATGTTTCCTGATCTTTTCTGTTTTGTTTGGGGAGCAGGTCACACCCAGCGGTCCTGCAGCATTATTTCTGGCTCTGCACTCGGGGATCATTCCTGACTGTGCTAGGGGACCATTCGGGTTGGAATGCCTGGGATCAAGCCGGGGTTGGCTGCCTGCAAGGCGAGCGCCCTCACCACCGTGCTCTCTTGCACCCTGATTCTCTTTTTATTGGGGCTGAGATGGTGTTAATTCTCCATATTTGATAGTATTTTCTATGGAAACAATCTGGAGTATGCTTTTTGTTTTGTTTTTCTGCTGGTAGTTCTGCTTGTTTATCAATGACTGTTCATGTCCTAATAAGCATGGAGCTTTCCAAATTATAGGGATTGAGACTTTTGTCTTTGTGTTATCTGCATTCCATCTTTTGGCGTTTTCCTCCTTACTCTTACATTAGTTATGGCTAGGCACATATTTGGGTTCATTTTAAATACTTTTTTCCCAGTCACCTTGGTGTGGTTTTCTTTTAAAACCTATTGTTTGTTTTGTTTTGGGGACACCTTGGTGGTGCTCATGGCTACTGTGATTATCGATCCCTTGCAGCCACCAATACTCAGGAGACAGTCTGGGGTGTCGGGATTTGAACCAGGGGGGCTGCATGTGAGGCAGGCACCTCCAACTGTCTTTGCTCTCCCACCCTGCGTATTTCAAGATTTCTGTCTATTTTGTCTGCCTTGACCTGGCCTGGCTCCTGTTAGGATGTCAGGGTTGGGGTGAATGGGTCCCCACTGGCTTCTTGATTGTGCTGCTGTCTAACTTTTGATGCTGGGACATATGAAGCAAAGAGCAAACCCATACCACCCCACTCTGTGTTGCTTGGACTCTGCCATCTTCCACAGGGGCTCCTTTAAGGGAATGTTGGGACCCAACTGATAGTACAGCGGGTGGGATGCTTGCCTTACATGTGGCTGACCCAGGTTCCATCTCTGGCATCTCATATGGTCCCCCAGACCTTCACCAGGAGTGAGGAATGATTCCTGAGGATAGAGCCAGAAGTAAGACCTGAGCACTGTCATGTATGGCCCAAAAGCCAGATTTTTTTTTTTTAAAGGCAAGGTTGGGGTTAGAGCAATAACACAGTGGGAAGGTAGTTTATCTTGTATGCATCTGACCTGGGTTTGATCCCTGGCTTCTCATAGGGTCTCCCGAGCGCCACTAGAAGTGACCCCTGAGTACCACTGTGTGTGCCCCCATCCCCAACCCAAAAAAAAGAAGGAGAAAAAGGAAAATATTTCTCCTGCCTTGCCAGAAGCTACTTCTCATGTTACTTTCTGGCCCTTCCTTCTAAGTACTTTCCAGATCTTTTTAGTTTCAGGGATGTTTGGCACGTCTTGTTGAAACTTTAATCTCTTCTCTATTCTTTTTTTTTTTTTCTGGCCATGAAAACATGAATTTGACAGGCACCATGTTCCAAGAAGCAAGCAGACATTGGGCAAAGTTTCCCACAGGATCTCAGCAACATTTTTTTAGTAATGGAAATAGTTGGGGTTTTGTTCTGTTTTGTTTTGGCTTGGTTTTTGGTTTTGGGGCCACAACTTGGCAATGCTCAGGGCTTAACTCCTGACTGCGGTCAGAGATCAGCACTCCTGGCGGTGCTCGGGACTAGAGATTGAAACCCAGGTCAGCTGCATGCAAGGCCAGCGTCCTCCCCACTGTGTTATCGCTCTAGCCCCTGGATCCTCTGACCTTGGAATCAAGGCATTCCCCCAGAGAGTCAGACATGTCTTTCTCCCATTTGGGACTGTGGCCATTCTTGGTGTTCTAGTTCTCCCTCTTTTTCCTTCTGTGTGGAACCAATCTTTTCCCGTTGCCCCTGCTCTCTCCCTCTCTGTTGTTGCCTAGTAGTCTCTTGTGGAAGGGCGTGATGCCCTCCAGAACACATTGAACCCTGCTTGGCAGACATTGGAACCCAGCTCTTCCAGATTTTACTATTCCACAGCAGGGCTGTTACTTCTCATGCACCCGTAAGAAATCTTCGCAGGGGATTGGAGACTCTTTCTTTGTCAGCCATATGGAATAGTTCCAGGGCTTATGCAGTTGGTGGAGGTGCAACGCGCTATTTTCCCATGTTCACCTCGATCTTGACCAGTTCTGGCCTGTGTGGCTGGTTTTCTCTGGAGACTGGATGCGTTGGTGTGTTGCGAGGCCGACTGCCAGTGCTTGGACCCTTAGGTTCTCTCTGACTTGTGCTCCCAGCAGGCTTTTCTCCCTTCCTAAATTCTCCTTCCCCCTCACCTTGGGATGGTTAGGACAAAAATGGTAGCAAGACAGCAACAGCTAGAAAGCACTACTGAATAGCTTCTAGATTGACACCGACTTGTTTGTGATTCCTTTGGGTTACCTAAGAAAGGAGTAAAAAATCATTTTGCGTCTTCCCAGCAGATACCGGCAAAGAGTGTATTTCTCCCTGCTTGTCTGCTGGGTCCCTAGTAACAGTACACTAGTTGTTGCAGATCATCTGATCCTTGTACTACTTCTTTTCTTTCTTCTCTTTCCCCCCGCCCCAATTTTGCAAAGCTCGGCGTCCTGATGGTGGGTTTTCTTTTGTCCCTCCTCTTTGAAAACCCGATTTCCAGGAAATCCCCTCACCCAGGATATACTGAACCTCTATCTGGAACCGGATGGAACGAGAAGGCTACTGAACTATTTGCTCGATAACTTGGCAGGTACTGCAAAAAGAAGTAAGTGGTCATTGGCTGACCGCCATTCTCTCCAGAAGACCAGTCTGAGCATTGCTTAATTCTGTGCTTGTGTGTGTTTGACCAGTGTCCACTGAGCAGCCGCCCCCCAGATCGTGGATCATGCTGCAGGAGCCTGACCGGACGAGGCCCACGGGTAGGTGCCAGTTATTCAGCTTCGGTTTGACTTGGCTCCGGAAATTCCTAGCTCTTCTGCACTGCTTCCAGTAGTAGACAGTGTGGTGGGCCAAGAGATGATCTTTCTGATCGGAATCAGAAAGTGGGGCCAGAGAGAGAACAACGGGGAGAGCACTTGCGTTGCACGTGGCCGACCCAGGCTTGATTTCTGGCACCCCGGAGCGTCCCCTGAACACAACTGTGCATGCCTGCCCCCCCAGCCCCCCAAGAAAATACATTAAGAAAGATTTCATTGGAGCTCACCTGACTCTAGGTACACTAGGCTCTGAGGCAGAGCTCTTGGGACCGGAGCCAGTGTGAGGATGGGCACAGTCGTGGCCTTGCACACGACCCACCTAGGTTTGGATTCCCGGTCCTCTGAGCAGTGCCAGGTGTGGCCAGAAACAAATCCACTCAAAACATGGGAACAGACTTTAGTCTTTCAGATCATAGGCACGCCAGAAAGGCTCCAAGACTTGCCTTGCATGTGCCAAACCCAGCACCTGCGCTGTCAGTTAGCCCCCTCAGTCCACCAGGAACAGCCCCTGACTACTGCCTGGGTGGCCTAAATCATCCCCCCCCGCAAAAAAAAAGACAGTCCTTTGGTGGGGGGGGCTTTGGGCCACATCAGATGATTCTGAGGACTTACCCATGACTCTGCTCAGGGATCACTCCTGGTGGGTCTCGCGGGACCATATGGGATGCTGGGGATCAAATCTCGGTCGACCTTGTGCAAGGCAAGCACCCTACCTGCTGTCCTATTGCTCTGACCCAAAAACCAGAGTGTTTGATTTTTATTATTTTGGGTGGTTTTGTTGTTTTGTTTTGGGGCTACACCCAGTGGTTACTCCTGGTTCTGTATTAAAAAATTACTCCTGGCCATGTTGGGGAGATCCTATGGGATGCTGAAATTGAACCCAGATCAGCTGCATGCAGGGCAAAAGCCCTAGCCCCAATACCAGAGTCTCTGGGCCTTTAAGCCTTTGGCTCCCCCTTCCGAGGCCTGAATGACCCCAGTCTGCCCCATACCATTATTCAACAGTGTCAGCTGGCATGGTGCCCTCTTGTCTGGCTGGAGAATGGCTTTTCCCCTGGCCGTTGTGTTGGGTGGATTCTGACTGGCATCCCCTGTCCAGGACAGAACTGATGGCATTCCCACGGTGGCATGGGGAGGAATTGGGGGGGTTTCTCCTACCCCCAGGTGTGACCCCTGGCCTCTTCTCCTACAGCTTTGCTCTCTGTCATGTGCTACAACGTGCTCTGTGACAAATATGCTACCCGGCAGCTGTACGGCTACTGCCCATTGTGGGCGCTCAATTGGGACTACCGGAAGAAGGCCATCATCCAGGAGCTTGTGAACTGCAATGCCGACATCATCAGCCTGCAGGTGAGCCAGCCCCATATCAGTCGCCTCTTCTCCCACAAGCTTGAACTGCATGGAACCTCCTCTCGGGCTCAGGGACTTTGAAAATGGCAGCGAATCCCCCCTTCCCCTCCCCCCTCCCCCCGTACCCCGTAACTCAGCTTCTTGGAGGCGAGGCTGAACTAATGGAAGGATTGATTTTCTGAGAAGGGATTCAGAGGATGCACTTGCCCTGCACTCAGCAACCTGATCCCGGGCACCCATTGGTCCCCTGAGCCAATCTAGGAGGTATCCCTAAGCACAGAGTCAGAGGGAAGCCCTGAGCATCATGAGGTGTGCCCCTAATCCCTTCCCCAGAAATTATTTAAAAGGAAAAAAAGCACTGGTAACAGGAGAAAATAGATTTACATAGAGTCTCATGTATTACTATTCTTTTCTGTTTCGGTTGGTTTGGGGCCACACCCAGTGTTGCATGGGGCTTCCTCCTGGCTCTGGAATTACTCCGAGCAGGGTTCAGGCGACCATATGCAGTGCCAGGAATTAAACCCGGGTCAGCTGTGTGTAAGGCAAGTGCCTTACCTGCCGGCCCCTCTCTCCTGGCCCCTGGATTTCCATACTTGACTCCTTATTGATAGATAAGCCATTGATCCTTGTCCAGTGGGTCTGTGTGAAAAGCCTTGGTTTTTACTGCCATTTTATCTCAGGTCAGTGGTGGATCAATTACGGTTCGTCTTTGATGCGGGCATTGGAAGATGTCCCGATTCAGTGTGTGAACATAAGACTCGTCCTCCCAAGTGACTTGGCTATTTTTCTTTTTCTTCCACAGGAGGTGGAAACTGAGCAGTATTACAGTTTTTTTCTGGTGGAACTGAAGGAGCGAGGGTATAACGGGTTCTTCAGCCCAAAATCAAGAGCAAGGACCATGTCGGAACAAGAACGCAAGCATGTGGACGGGTGTGCAATATTCTTCAAGACCGAGAAGTAAGGGCCTGAGCGATATTTCAGCAGGGAGGGCGTTTGCCTTGCACACTGTCAATCTGGGTTTAATCCCTGGTATTCCATATGGTCCCCCAGCACCGCCAGGAGTAATCCCTGAACGTTGCTGGGTATGACAGAAAAAGGGAAGGAAAAAAACAAAGACTGAGAAGTAAGATTCCCTTCTCGCTCTCTTTTTCTTTTTCTTTTCCAGCCACATCTCACGGTGTTCAGGGTTTTCTCCTGACTCTCCGCTCAGGGATTACTCCTGGTGGTGCTTGGGACACCCTATGGGATGCCAGGGATCGAACCCAGGCTGGCAGCATGCAAGGCAAGCGCCCTGCCTGCTGTCCTGTCTCTCTGGACCAGTCCCCTCTTTCTCATTTGCTCAGTAACTGCTGCATTGGGGATTCAGCAGAAATGGTTGGCCAGAGGGGGAATTGCAGTGTTGGATTAACACCCCAAGAGATGTGCAGTGGGTATGCAGGCTTCTGTTTTGTACTTTACCAACATGCATTTTCATAAAGGGCTGCATCATTTGTCTGATGTTTACTTGGGTTGAAACACCTTGTTAGCGACATTCCCCCCAGCACCCTCGGAACAGCAAAAGGAATCCTTAAGCACATTCCTTAGGTTTATTCATACAGAAGCTGGAATCCTGAAACAGGAAGCTGAAAACAGTGGCTACTTTGGCTTCTGATGAATGTTTTCCAAAGGCCTTCATTTTCGACTAGGGAGCTAGGACAGCAGGAACGGAGCTGGCCTTGCGTGTGGCTCCATCCAAGGTTCCATCCCCGAACCCCATAGGGTCCCCTGAGCCTCGTTGGAGTGATCCCCGAGCACAGAGCAGGGAATCCTTGGGTGTTGCCAGGGTCGGCTACCAAACCTAAAAGAAAACAAATCAAAAACATTATTTGGGGGCCAGAGCCATAATACAGCAGGTAGGGCACTTGCCTTGCGTGTGGGCGACCTGAGTTTGAGCCCTAGCATCCCATATGGTGTCCCGCCAGGAGAGATCCCCAAGTCCAGAGCCAGGAATCAGCCCTGAACTCTACTGGGTGTGCCCCCCTTCCCCTGGAAAAAAAAAAAAACCCAAACAGGTGTTAGTTGAATTCTTCCCAGACTGAGACCCACCCTGGAGTGGCGATGTGTAGGGAGCTTTATTCTCAAGGAGTGGCCACCCAAAATTGATTTTTTAATTTCTTTTTTTTTCTTCTTCTTTTTCCCCCCTTTTTTCTTTTGTTACCAGCTATCAAGTGCTCCATGAAGCTGTGTTTGGGGGGATGCCGATTGCTGCCCCCACCAAGTATCTCTGTGTGCCCTATTCTCTTTGCACGTTCGTGGGTGTGTGTGTGTGTGCATCTGTTTCTGTTGTAGATTCACTCTGGTTCAGAAACACACTGTTGAATTCAATCAGCTGGCCATGGCCAACTCCGAGGGCTCGGAGGCGATGCTGAATCGAGTCATGACTAAGGATAACATCGGCGTCGCGGTCCTACTGGAGCTGCGGAAGGAGCTGATGGGGACAGCACGTGAGTGGCCTCTGCTGGCCTCAACAGGGGCGCGTCCCCCCCTGCCGACTAGACAGGAGAGATCAGGTGCCTGGCCTTACGTGACTCAGCTCCAATCACCCAACAGGGTGCTTGCCTTGCTGATCCGGGTTCAGTTCCCAGCATGCCATATGGCACCTCCGAGCACCACCAGGATCAGAGTGAGGAGTTATCCTTGAGCACTGCCAGGTGTGGCTCCAAAACAGAACAAAAGAATGAAACTTAGGGGGCCAGCGAGCTAGATAGTACGGCAGGAAGGGTACTTTTCTTTTTCTTTTCTTTCTTTCTTTTTTTTTTTTGGAATAAACAGATTTTATTTGGAGGATTTTTAAGGTGTGGAGGGGGAGAGAGTGAGAGAGAGTGACGTACTCGAGAGAACACGGGCTTCTCCAAGGGCGGAGAGAGCCTCTACACACATACCAGCATTAGTCACAAAAGCATGAAAGTGCACATCTCAAGAAGGGAGTTGCGGGCGACGTATGTGCTCAGCTGCCACATGTGCTCAGCCGTGTGGGCTCTAGCAGCGCGTGGGCTTGGGCACATATGTGCCAGGAAGGGTACTTTTCTTGCATGCATCTGACCTGGGTTTGATCCCTGATAATGCTGTAGTATTCCCTGAGCATAGAGCCAGGAGTAAACCCTGAGCACCTTTGTGGAGCTCCTCTCCCCCCCTGTAAAAAAATCAAACATGCCGGAGTGATAGTACAGCAGAGAGTTTGCCTTCCACACGGTCAACTTGGGTTCTATCCTCAGCATCCCATATTATTCCCAGCACTGCTAGGAGTAATTCTGAGTGTAGAGCCAGAAGTAATCGGTCCCTGAGCATTGCCAGGTGTCATCCCAAAACAAAACAAAATAAAACATAAAGGGGGAAAACTTTTTTTTTTTCACTCCCAGGAATTTTTCCAGGAAAAAAAGTTCCCTTTAATAGTGAGTTCATGCAACTGTTTTCAGGAAGAACATGTGGGTGTTTCTCCCAGTTCCTGGTCCTGGGGAAATTGATAGGCTCACCGTTCTTCCCGACCAGCTCGCCAAGTGTTCCCACGTCTGGTGGGGGGTTGGAGGGTGTTTGGCAGTTTGAGTGAGCCTCAGGCCGGGTTTCCAGATGTGGGCTGTAGGAGCTGACGCTGGTTCATTTGCAGGCCCAGAAACACGAAAGGTGGAGGTGACCCCCTTAAATGGTAGCCGGAAGTAGGGCCAGGAGTAGAGCATCTTGTGAGATCCAGTTCATCTGCTCGGGCCCGGAGACTTGACAAACCAAACAGTCCTAGGTGGAGTGACTTGGGGCTGGAGCCATAAGACAGTGGAGAGGATGCTTGCTTTGCACTCAGCTGACCTAGATTCAAACCCCGCATCCTGTAGGGTCCCCCCCAAGCCCTGCCAGGAGTAAGTCCTGAACACTGCCAGATGTTGCCCCAGAAAACAAAACCAAACAAATGGAGTAGGCAGGGTTATGCTTGCCCTTGTGTGGAGTGCCCCATGCACAAACCTGTCTCTCACATCCCCTGTACCACTCCTTCCCCCCCATCACCCTAAAAAAAATCTTTCTCTTAGGTTTGTAGTAGGTTGATTTCATCAGCTGGGAGCTGCTTGAGTGAGTTTGTTTTTTTATTTTTAGTTTTTGGGCCACTAACGCCACACTCAGATCTTACTCCTAACCCACATTCAGGAATTCCTCCTCTCCAGCTTGGGGGTACCCTATGGGATGCTGGGGATCAAACCCAGGTCAACCGCATACAAAGCAAACACCCTTCTCCTGTACTGTGGTTCTGGCCCAGCCTGTGTGAGTTTTAATTGTCAGTTTTTAAGAGATTACTGCTTTCAGCCCCTGGGATATATATTGGTGGGGGCCCAGAGAGGTAGGAGAGGGGTTGGGTAAGGCTCTTCCCTGGCGCACAGCTGACCCTGGGTCTGTCCCTGGCACTGCCAAGTGTGGCCCCAAATCCCCAGACAAGCAAAGACTATATGGGGTGATGAACAGCCAGCTTTGTCCTTTTGATTGGCCCTAGTGGGGAAGTCCCATCTTGGAGCAGAAAACCAGCTACTCCTGGTGGCGAATGCACACATGCACTGGGATCCGGAGTACTCAGACGTGAAGCTGGTCCAGACGATGATGTTCCTGTCAGAAGTGAAGAACATCATTGACAGAGCTTCCCGGAGCCTGCAACCCGGCGTGCTGGGGGAGCTTGGGACCATCCCGTTGGTGCTGTGTGCCGACCTCAACTCCTTGCCTGACTCTGGTAAGGGAAGAACCAAGGCTTTCAGGAACGTGCCTGTTGATTCAGAACGGTCTGGGCAACATCTGTTCCTGCTGTTCCCAAGGTCCAGGTGACAGTTCAGTTTGTAGTCGCAGCTGGACTTGGCTAGGATGAGGAGATGGGGAAGAAGAGAGCATGAGAGAGAGTGAGAGAGAGTGGGGTGAGGGGACAAAGAGAGACAGGGAGTTAGAGTTCACATGTGTACTTATGGTGAAGCATTCTTTTGAAAATGAAATGGGGCCCAGGAGTAACCCCTCAGCATTACCGGGTATAACCCAAAGAGGAAAAAAAGAAAATGAAATAGTCTGGAGGAAGACACGAATTGTTGATGTTTTTATTATTTTAAAGTAGGGGGCCATACCCGGTGATGCTCAGGGGTTCCTCCTGGCTCTGCACTCAGGAATTACTGCTGGCGGTGCTTGGAGGACCATATGGGATGCTGGAGATCGAATGTGGCCCTGTCACACGCAAGGCAAGAGTTGTGCCTGCTGTACCGGCATCTGGCCCCATATTCGCTTTTCTTCTTTCTTTTTATTTTTGTGAAGCAAGATAGTTTTGATTGAAATTTATTCAGAAGCATGTGAGGAGTAAGAAAGAAAGAAGTATGTATTCAAGAGAAAGCATAACTTTTTTCTAGAATAGAAATCAAGAGAAAAACCATAGAGACCAGCAACCGAGATAAGTGTTCGAGGGAGAACATGGTATGGTGTTGCTTTGTTTGTTGGTGTGGGAGTGGCCACCCAGGCTATCCCCGGGCTAACTCCTGGCTGTGTGCCCAGGATCACTCCTGGTGGGGGTTCAGGGGACCCCTCTGTGGTGCTGGGAATCAAGCCCAGCTCAGCTGCATGACAAGCAAGAGACCTGCCCACTGGACTAAGGCTGCAGACCCCATTTTCTTTTTCATTACGAATTTTGTATCCTCTCTGTCTCTGTCTCTCTGTTTTTTTTTTTTCTTTAGTGAAAATCAGGTAGAAAATAATGCCTGTTTTCCTGCTAGGTGTTGTGGAGTACCTGAGCACTGGGGGAGTAGAGACCAATCATAAGGACTTTAAGGAATTGAGGTACAATGAGAGTCTCACCAACTTCAGCTGCAGTGGGAAATTTGGGACAGCCCCCGGGCGAATCACCCACGGTTTCCGGCTTAAGAGTGCCTACGAGCAGGGCCTCATGCCTTACACCAATTACACGTTCGAGTTCAAGGTGAGTTCCACAGATGGGGCAACTTTTTCAAGCTGCCTTGATCTTCAGTTCCCGAGTCTCATAGGTCTCTCAGATGGAAATGTTGCAGAGACCAGAGTGGTAGGACAGCGGGAAGGATGCTTGCCTTGGCACACAGCCCATCTGGGTTTGATTCCCTGCATCCCATTGGGTAGCCAAACAATGCCAGAGCCTGAGTGCAGAGCCAGGAGGAAGCCCTGAACATTGCCAGGTGTGGCCCAGCCCCCAAGTGAATATTCAAGGGACTAGAGCGATAACACAGCTGGAAAGGGCCTGTCAGGAGTGGTCCTTGAACACAGCCAGGAGTAAAGCCTGAGCACTGTCAGGTTTGCCCCCCCATACAAAATTAAAATACACTGTGGAGGGGCTGGAGCGATAGAACAGCGGGCAGGGCATTTGCCTTCCATGCAGCTGACCCGGGTTCAATCTCTGGCATCCCACATGTACCCTGAGAACTGCCAGGCTTAATTCCTGAGTGCAGAGCCAGGGAAACCCCTGAGCATCACTGGGTTTGGCCCAAAAGCAAAAATCTAAGAAGAAACAAACCAAATTAAGTAATAAAATGTGGATATTACAGCATTCAAACTGGACTGAATCTACCTTTTTTTTTTTTTTCCATTTTTGTTTGTTCATTTTGTTTTGGGCAGTGGTGGTCAAGGGCAGCTCCTGTCTCTGTGCTCAGGAGTGAGCCTGGCAGTACTCGGGCTCCCTTTCCCGCTCCCTCTCCTTCTCTCCCCGTCTCTCTCTTTCCCCCTTCCTCTCTCTTCCTTCTCTCTCCTCTCTCTCTCTCTCTCCTCTCCCCCCTCTCCTCTCTCTCCCTCCCTCCCCTCCCCCCCCCACCCAAGCATCATCTTGCTTTTGTGGACAGTAATATTTCTGTTTTGGGGCCCACACCTGGCCAAACTCAGGACTTACTTCTGGCTCTGTGCTCAGGTAGTACCTCTGGTAGTACTACCTCTGCTAGTGCTCAGGGGATTGTAACCAGGATCAGCCTCCCACAGAGCAAGCACCCTCTCTGCTGTACTCTCTCCATCCCAGTCAGTAATGGTCTTTTTTTCCTGTTTTGTTTTTCTTTGATATTTTAGTTTTGTTTTTTGGGTCACACCCGCTGGTGCTCCGGGGTTACTCCTCACTCTGCACTCAGGTATTGCTCCTGGTGGTGCTTGGGGGACCACATGGGATGCTATGGATAGAACCCTGGTTGGCCACATGCAAGGCAAGTGCCCTACCTGCTGTACTACTGCTCAGCCCTTGTTTTTCTTTTATTGGGTGAGGACACACCTGGCAGTGCACTATCTCTCTGGTCCCAAATATTTTGGGGAGGATACTTACCCAGAGAATTCCTTGTTGCTTCGTGGCCTCTCCTTATTTTCTCTATACATCTGACACCCATTTCCAAAGCAGGAGATCGAATGACATAATGATCTTTGAGTTCACTGCAAGGATTTGGTGACAATTTTTTTTGGAGGGTGTGGGATTTGTTTTTGGACCATACTTGGTGGCGCTCAGGGCTTACCCTGACTCTGCACTTAGGCATCACTCCTGGAGTTGCTCAGAGTGTCCATTGGGCTACCGGGGATTAAACCTGGCCTCAGCTTCGTGCAAGCCAGAGCCCTCCCCACTGTCCTATGGTTCTGGCCCCCATGGGGAATCTTGGTGTTTTGGTTTTTTTTTAGCTTTTTGGGTCACACCCAGTGATGCTCAGGAGTTACTCCTGGCTTTGCACTCAGGAATTACTCCTGGCAGTGCTTGGGGGACCATATGGGATGTTGGGGATCGAACCCAGGTCGACCGCATGCAGGCAAATGCCCTGCCCGCTGTACTATCGCTCTGGCCCCTGAGTTTTTGTTTTTGAGGAGTTGGCCGGGAGGTGGCCGGGACTGTGGGGAAGAAAGTATGCCAGGCCTCTGGGCGCCGTCTGAGGTGGCGTCTTGTCTTGTCTCTTCCCCTCCTATGGATGTCTCAGGGGATCATTGACTACATCTTCCACTCGAAGCCTCAGCTGAAGACCCTGGGCGTGCTGGGCCCCCTGGATCACCACTGGCTCGTGGAGAACAACATTGCTGGCTGCCCGCACCCGCTCATCCCCTCTGACCACTTCTCCCTGTTTGCCCAGCTCGAGCTGGCGCTGCCTTTTCTGCCACCAGTGAATGGCCTCCACCTCCCGGGCAGGAGGTAGTCCTGGCACCCACCTCCTGGGCAGGAAGTGGTTATTCAGCACTCACCTCCCAGGCAGGAGGCTGTCCCAGCACTCACCTCCCGGGCAGGGGGTGGTTATCCCAGCACTCACCTCGCAGGCAGGAGGCTGTTCCTGTTCCCTTCAGGAAGTGCCCTGTTTTCTTCATTGGAAAATCCATCAAAAGCTGAAGTTAAGGGGAGTGAGGTATCAGAGAGAGAGAGAGGGAGAGAGAGTTTTGTTTTGTTTTTGTCTTAGTGATTTAAATTTTCCATCTGATTCTTGGACCCAGGCTGGAGAGATAGCACAGTGGGTGGGGTGTTTGCCTTGCCGACCCAAGTTCAATTCCTCCGCCCCTCTCGGAAAGCCTGGCAAGCTACAGAGAGTATCTTGCCCGCACGGCAAAGCCTGGCAAGCTCCCCGTGACGTATTCGATATGCCAAACACAGTAACAAGTCTCACAATGGAAATGTTACGGGGCCTGCTCGAGCAAATCGATGAACAACGGGAGGACAGTACTACAGTGCTATTTTTGGACCCAGATCTTGTCTTGAAAGTCAGGTGCTAACAACACCCAGTGTCTGAGGCTGCCCTGCTCTCTCGCTGTCTGGCCGGGGCTGAGTCGAGTGTCTGCCCACCGCTTGGCATATCCCCCGAGTCGTTTTCCTGTTTCTGCTTCTCCTCCCCCAGCCAAGAGAATATTTTCATGTCTTGAAATAGGAAAATGTCAGAACTGTCCAGAATCTGTTTGCACAGAAATTGGTAGCACATAGCTGAGGCCAGTAACAAATATCCAGATGGTTCTATCGCGAGGGCCATGCCCTCCCCATTTTTTTCCAGACTCATTTGTTTAAAGAAAAAAAAATAGAGACCTTGAATTTTGCCTTTCTGATTGTATAATTTGTAAAATCTGAGGCAAAGTTTTCTGGTTTGTGTGTGTTTCTTTTTCACTTGCTCCTCATGCTGTTGAGGACAACCTGTCAGCAAAGCAAGACAGACTCTCTCTCTGCTGGATGGATTTGCACCATCCTGGTTTGTTGTCCAGGTTTGTTGGGTTAAACAGAGCAAAACAAAACGCCTGTCCCAACAGGTTCTGCACCTGCAGAGAAAAATCTGTTCATCTTATCCACAGTTTACTTAAAAAAATCCCGTCGGCCTAGGGTTGCAAGTGTTTTGAAATGCTTTAGGATGAGCTGCAGTTGTGCTGGTTCTTTGCACGGTCAAGCATTGGTGGTCACTTTGGGAGAAGGGGACAGCTGGAGACAGGACGTAGCGGGGAGGTAGCTTGTCTCACACGTAGCAGACCCGGTTCCAGTCCCCAGCACCACAGAGGGCGCCCCTGTGCAGGCCAAGAGTCTTCCCTGAGACCACCTGATGGTCACCGCAAGGAAAAACAGATCACATTTGGGAATGTGTTCCTGGGCCCGAGGGTCCCTGCTCCCCATGTAGAGTTCAGGTTGCTATCATGTGACTGTTCTTATATTTTCCATTAGTTTTATTTTTTAACAAAAAATTCATTTTTAAGTCCTTTTTAAAGTGTGTGATGTATTAAGATATCTGTTCTCAATAGTGCTCCAAGCAATTCTGTTCCCCCTCTGTGTGTGTGTGTTGGGAGGGGGGCACACCCAGTGGTGCTCGGGGCTTTCTCCTGGATCTGTGTTCAGGAACCACTCCTGATGGTGCTCAGGGGACCCTGTGGGATACCAGAGATGAAACCCAGGTCAGTCCTGTGCAAGGTGAGCACCTACCTGCTGTACTATCGCTCCCTGTCGCCCCTAGGTCCCTTTTTTTTTTTTTTAAGTGATATGGTCATTTAATTGTGTCAAAAGAGAGAAATGTGGTTCTCCAGCCTGAGCATTGCTGGGTAGGACCTAGTTTCACCTTGCAAAGTGAACTCGGTTTCAGCCCCTTGTTCCTTCCTCTTAGGGAGGAACAAAAAGCAGAATCAGATGAACTCAGAGGAGACAATGAGATCTTGGGACTTTTGTTTTAACTGCAAACCAAGAAACAAAAGGGCAGTTCTCACATGAGCATTAAGGAAAGAAAGAAAAAAATTGAGGTTCTTGTCAGGTTTTTTTGGGGGGGTGGTTGTTGGACACACCCAGAAATGCTCAGAGATTGCTTCCGGGTCTGTGCTCAGGAACTACTTATGGTGCTGGGGGGACCTTCCGGGATGCCCAGGCTTGAACCTTAGTTGGTCACGTGCAAGGCAAGCATCCTCTCCACTGTACTGTCATTCCGACCCCCTGACTTAAAATGTTTTGTGACAGATGTTGAGTCTTCACTTGTCAGAGGAAATAACAATACAGCCTGTTTAAATAAAGGATTCCTTCATGTCCCCTATCTCTCAACAGACCCTTCTCTCTCTCAAACAATCCCAAAAAACTTTGATCTCAAGTCTTTTGTCTGGGAGCTAGTTTTATCCTTGGAGACCTTCCCCCCCCCCGCCCTTGGAAGATTTTTCTTGTAATGGGTATTTTGGTTTTGTTTAACTTTTTGCTTTTTAAAAAAAAAAACACACACACTTCTACCAACATCATATGCATGCATTTGTTTGGTGGGTGCACAGGACCAGGAAGCTGATATTGCGGACAGGCATAGAAGCAGTGCAGGGATCAGCTCGTGTTTTATTCTGACTGCAAGTATAATTCAAAGGTTTGTTTGCACCTTTTTCCTTAAAACTGTGCAGGGCCACCATACCTTAGGACATTTTCAAGCAAGAGTGAGCTGGAGCTGGCTAGCCAGAGCCTCGAAATCCACTTAGCTCATAGGCAGTTTGTGGGAATGATGGGTCCAGAGAGCTTTGTGGCCAGGCAAAAGGGGTCCCATTTGTGTCTTGGGTGTTTGTCCACTGGTAGGAAAATGGAGTCTGTTCCCTGCCACAGGAACTAGATTGCACTTGATCATTGTGAAATGTTTGAGCTTTAAATGAGGTGGTTTTCCTGCACGTGTAGTTTTACCGGTTGGTATTCCTTGATCTCTTTGGAAAGAAGTGCTGGAGAGTGAAGCCAGCGCCGCCTGCTGTCTGGGAATTCTCATTTTGTACCACTTAGTAGACAGACCACATTCTGTAGGTGTGGCCACTGTGTAGACTGAATGATAACTTGAACCGAGAGTGGAGATTGGACCCCCTTAGCGTGTGGCAGAGAAAGAGTAGGGGGCTGGAGCTATAGGACAGCAGGGAGGGCGTTTGCCTTGCACGCCATCAACTTGGGTTCGATCCCTGGTACCCCGTAGAGTTCCTGAACCCCTCCAGGAGTAAGCCCTGAGCACTGCTGGGTGTGACACAAAAACAAAACAGAAAAAGAGAAAGAATAGTGGGCAACAAGCAAATGAAACTCATCAAAGTAAGTTGGAATATTTGAGTTAAGCAAAACAGATTTTTTGGGGGGAGGGGGTTATTTTCTGTGTCTTGGATCATTTCCCATAATCTCTTAACTCCCTAAAAGGCAATAAATAAGAACTAGTATATTTCTCGTAGTATAAATTTGCTGTACCCCAAATTCTGTAAAAGATTTCTTGTGCGGTTGCTATACTGTCATTTGAGAGGTCTCACTGGATAAGTTCATTTTAGGAATGTTTTGTGGAAATTGGGGTGGAGGGACATGCTTCATTATTTATATATGTATAATCCAGAATTTGGAGTTCCCTCGATTCCTTGGTTGGGAACCTGTTGAAATACCAGTTCCTGTTTTCGTGACGATGATGCTTTGAGATTTCAATAATGTTCATTGAAATTAATTTATGGGGGTCTGAGCAATAGTATGGAGGAGGGAGGGCGGCTGAGCAGGGTGGATCTCTCTACCACTCCATGGCATGGTCCCCTGAGCCCCGACAGGAGTAATCCCTGAGCTCAGCCAGAACTAAGCCCTGAGAAACACTGGGTGTGGCCCCAAAACCAAAATATAACGGCATAATTTCAACGAAAGTCATAGACATGAATTGTGCTATGCAACTAGAATGATTTTAGAAGCTAGGTCAGGAACAGCTTCCAAAAATGTGTTTTTAATATTTCTTGGGTTTGACTGCCAGGCAGGAGAATTTGAGGTTAGCACTTTGCAACAAAGGCCATTATTGAATTGGGTAGAAGGCACTTATGAATGTCAAAGCTCTTAAAAAAGAAATTCAGCTTTTCAATAATGAATTCCATTTCCCCCCCCCCCCCCCTTTTTGAGATTTAGGGAATTTGTTTCTGTCTTGACTTTTAAGATTTTTTTGGTGGGGTGGGAAGGAGTGGGGATCGTGCCACTGAAGGACGAAAAAAAAAAAAAGCTGCTGCCAAACAGCCATCACAGTTGGTTCTTTGAAGGAACTCAAGTACAAATAAAGGCTCTAGCGGGTAACTCGTGCATGTTTCTCATCTCCCTACCCTGCCCAGAGTATTTTTAAATGTTTGCTTTCCACTTCTTTTTGGCTACTTACGGTATGTTGGCATCATGTCAAGTATTTCCCTTGACATCCTGGTCCTCCCTAGCACCAAGATCCTCACCAAGTTCAAAGAAAGTGGCGTTGGCCTAACCAGCGAGGGAATCCAGAAGCTGAAGATACACCTGTGTGGACTGGTTATTATAAAAAAAAGGGGGGGGGGGATCTGTCTTTTTCTGTGGAACTTTCTTGGTCAAATTGTAACTAGCTAGTATTAATTATATTTATATACAGGGCTGCTTTTCTTTACCGATGTATTTTCCTACTTATAGCCAATCAATAAATTCAATATCTGTTTCACATCTGGGAAGATTTCATTTGTCGCACTTTTTAGACCCCGAGACTGGAGCTCACTCAGGGATTCTAAAGAGCATTGAAAATTGGGGTTGACCAGTAACTGCAGGGGGCCCCGGTAACCACTCTCCGGCCCGCGGAGGTGGCCCGAGGATTGATCCGATGGTGCAAGGAGGGACCAACCGAATGAACACGAGACACAAGAGACAGAGTACATTTTAGAAATAGAAAAAGAGAGAAAAAGGGACAGGCTTTATTGAGGGACACAGGCTGTTTATATAGGGTCTGGGCAGCTCAGTCAGGAGCAGAAGCAATATAACCATATATGGTAAGGTCAGCAACAAGAGCTTTACCTAACATTCAAGGTAGACATTTGCACATCAAAGGGTCTTGTGGCAGTAGGTGCATCCTGAGCTTTACATTTGTATATCAAAGGGTCTTAGGGAGTAGATGCATCCTGGAGGTTCCTATAGATAAGGCCAGATAAGCTGTCAGCCTGATGTGTGGCTATAGATCAGGTATCCACTGAGATCAGGAAGTCCTGGGAGACAGTCACCAATGTCTGTCCCAAGCAGTTCCTAGCATGGGAACCATGGCCAGGGTCTATGAGAGGGCTCTTGGCTTCCCACAAGTAACAGGATTAGAATTCCTCTCTGGTGCACGAGAGGGCTGGGCATGGCAGGAGGAAGGTAGGTGGGTTTGTCAGCATTCTACAAAGTGCAAACACTTCTCATAGACCATGTTTGGTTTGATACTTGGTTAATGTTCATTTGCCAGTTTTTTGGGTTTTTTTTTTTTTTGTCTTGTGGTCACACCCAGTGGTACCCAGGGCTTACTCCTGGCTCGGGGCTCGGGAATCGCTCCTGGTGGGGCTCAGGAGACCAAATGGAAAGTTTTAAAATAGGGTCTTCAGTTCTTGTAAGTTCTGTAATGTTGGGGCAGGAGAGAGTACAGCAAGTAAGGCACTTGCCCTGCACACAGCCAACCTGCATTCGATTCCTGGCATCCCATATTCCCCAAAGCCTGTCAGGAGTGATTCCTAAGTGTAGATCCAGGAGTTACCCTGAGCACCACAGGGTGGGTGTGGCCTAAAAACACAAAACATTATTAAGTTCTGTATATTTTGTTTTAATTATGTAGGGCTAGAGCCATGGCACAGCAGGTAGGGCACTTTCCTTGCATATGGCCTTTGTGAGCTCAGTCCCCGTCACCCCATATGGTCCTCCAAAGTCCTGCCAGAAGTGGTCCCTGAATGCAGAGCCAGGAGGAAGCCCTGAGCACTGTTGGGCAAGGCCCCAGAACCAAAATTAAATAAAATACACTTTTTTTAAAAAAATATTAGTGAAACGCCATGAGGTACAGTTTAGACTTACAGATTTTTGTGCTTGGGTTTCAGTTATACAATGATAAAGTACCCATCCCTCTACCAGTGCCCATTCACCACCACTGATCCCAGTATCCCTCCCACCCCCCATCGCCCCATCCCACCCTGCCTCTGTGGTATTCCCTGTTGTTCTCTCTCTCCTTTTGGGTGCTGTGGTTTGCAAAAGAGGAATTGAGTGGCAATCATGTTCAGTCTATAGTCTACTTTCAGCATGCATCTCCCATCCTGGGGGATCGTCCCAACACCCTTTATTTGGTGCTCCCTTCTCTATCTGAGCTGCCTTTTCCCCCAGCATGTACGGCTGGCCTCCAAGCCATGGAGTAAACCTCCTGGTACTTATCTCGACCTCCTGGTACTTATCTCGACTATTCTTGCAATACCACTCCTGAGAATATATCCCAGAGAGGCAAAAAAGTATAGTCGAAGTGACATCTGCACTTGTTTGTTCATTACAGCTCTGTTTTCAGTAGCTAGAATCTGGAAAAAAACTGAGTGCCCGAGAACAGATGACTGGTTAAAGAAACTTTGGTACATCTACACAATGGAGTACTGTGTAGCTGTTAGAAAAGATGAAGTCATGAAATTTACATATAAGTGGTACTACATGCAAAGTATGCTAAGCGAAATGAGAAAGAGAGGGACATAGAAAGATTACATTCATCTGGGGAACATAAATAACATACATACATACACTGTCCACCCGTTGTCCATCGATTTGCTCGAGCGGGCCCAGTAACGTCTCCTTCATGAGACTTTGTTGTTACTGTGTTTGGCATATCGAATACATCACGGGTAGCTTGCCAGACTCTGCCATGCGGGCGAGATACTCTCGGTAGCTTGCCGGGCTCTCCAAGAGGGGCAGAGGAATCGAACTCGGGTCGGCCATGTTGGCTGCATGCAAGGCAAACGCCCTACCCGCTGTGCTATATCGCTCCAGGGCTGGAGCGATAAAGTAACAAAATTAAATAAAACACTTTTATTATGTGGGTGCTGTTGCAGAGAATCAGTCCATAGATGGATGTTTGACAGCATGTCCATTTTTTGTTTTGTTTTGTATTTCAGTAACGTCTCCATTGGAGACTTTGTTGTTACTGTGTCTGGCATATCGAATACTCTCGGTAGCTTGCCGGGCTCTCCGAGAGGGGCGGAGGAATCGAACTCGGGTCGGCCATGTTGGCCGTGTGTAAGGCGAATGCCCTACCCGCTGTGCTATCGCTCCAGCCCACACCAGGTTATGTTCGGGGGTTACTCCGGCTTCTGCACTCAGGGATCATTCCTTGTAGTGCTCAAGGGGCCATATTGGTGCCAGGGATTGAACTCGGGTCAGCCGTGTGCAAGGCCAGTGTTCTACCTCTGTACTATTGCTCAGGCCCCAAGAGATAGTTTTTTTTAAAGTGGGAAGTGAGCATTTTCTTTTTTTCTTGGGGATGGAGGGTCACAACCTTCACTGCTAAGGGGTTACTCCTAGATCTGTGCTCAGCAATCACTCCTGGCAATGTTCCGGGTACCTATGTGGTACCAGGGATCAAACCCAAGTTGGTTGCTTGCAAGGCAAATACCTTCCACACTGTCCTATCTTTCTGGCATCAAAAAATCAAATTGTTAGTATCAAACCAAGTTCAAGAAATCTAGCTTAAGGGCCAGATAGTACACAGGATAGGAAGTCTTACCTTGCATGTAGCCAACCCAGGTTTGATCCCTGGCATTCCTCACTGCCAAGGATGATCCCTGAGTGCAGAGCCAGGAGTAAGCCCTGAGCACTACCAGATGTGCTCCCCACTACTCCCCCAAAAATCTAGCATTTGGGGTCCAGGGAGATGACTCCAGTGTCTGGTGTGTAGTTTTTCTCCTTTGGATGCCACGGCTTAGACCCCAAGTGCCACACCAGGAGTGATCCCTAAGTCCTTAGGAATAACTTACGGGAACCTCCCCCAGCTCACAAATCCAGTTTTCTTCCTCCCCACAGGTGGGAGGCATCCAGGCATATCTGGATGGGGTAACCCAAGCCTCTCTTCACTCATGGTAACTTTCAGTAACAACTGTCCTGCTAGGGATTCTTTTTTGGGGGGACTGAGGGATGCTGGGTTGGATTTGGGAGGGCCACACAGCAGTGCACGGGAGAGTCCTGTGGTGCCAGAAATTGAGGTTGGGACTCCTGCAAGCAAAGCCTACTCTCTACCCTCTGAACCAGCCCCTCAGCTGTTTCTCTGCCCCCTTTTTGTATATTCAGTCTTGGGGTTCAAACCCAGGGTGTCACGCATGCAAGACAAATGTTGGAGTCAACCTCAGCTACTCCCAAGAGGCTGGGACCATGGTTCCCAGTAGCATGAACCGGGACAGAGATGTGAGACCTTGAAAACTTTGGGGTAACATGCTGATAAGGAGATTTACGTGTGTATGGGTCCCAGGCTTTCCCTCATCTGATCCTGTCTGAATTTGTGAAATTGAACCCCCCTCCCCCAACACACACACACACACACCAAAAAAAGATCGCTAAGTATTGTGGTCAAAATAGGAGGAGGCCGAGAGAGATGGTCTAAGAGGGAAAGAGTTGGCCTTGCAGTCCCATGAAGCACTGAGCTAGGTCTAGCCTCAGCACCACCAGGTGCCGCTCCTGAGTACAGAATCAGGACTGGCCCCTGAGCATTTTTGGGTGTGACCTCAATCCCCACCCCTAGCCCTCTCTATATATATATATGCCATATATATGCTCACTCCTGGGTCTGTGCTTAGAGATCAATCTTGGTGGTGTCAGGGGGGACCATATGGGGTGCCAAGGATCAAGCCCAGATTGGCCGCATGCAAGGCAAGTGCCCTCACAACTGTACAATAGCTCTGGCCCCAAATTCTATGACATATTAATAGCCTGATAGTACATCAAGGAAGCTGCCCCAGCCTGATCAAGAGTGAGCACGAAGCCAAGAGGAAGCCCTGAGCACGGCTGGCTGTGACCCCAAACCCCTATACCCATATGTATATATATAATTGTAGTTATGTTTTTATAATATATTTTAAATAGTATTTAATGTATGTAGACACAGAAAACCCCAGACCTCTGCTTAATGTGGTGGAAATGGGTCTCTGGGCACAGAGTTGGTTTCTTTGTAAACTAAAACTTTGCAACTGGGCTGGTGACCTGCACCTCCCATTGACCTGGTCACTTCTCACTGACCCGGAGACCCATCTGTGTTTTTGGTTTGGGGGCCACACCTGGTGAAACTCAGGGTTACTCCTAACTCTGCACTCAGGAATCACTCCTGATAGTGCTGGTGAATCCCCAGAATAAGACAGGTACAAGCCAAGAAGAATCAACAGAGCGTGGGTTTCCCATCTCCCACCCCCAGTTCCAGGGAGACTCCAATGGGGAGGAGAGCACAATCCCAAATTTCATTTGTCCCCAAATGTCTGCAGGATTGGAGCTGCCACTGCATGCTTCGAGGACCCGCACATCTCCCCTTACTCCTATGCTCGGGGCATGGGCCGCCCCTGTTCGTGATGACACAATCTGGAGTCCCACACTCCAAGCAAGGCCTCTTGCCCTTCAGCCGTCACCACACAGCAGTGTGGGCAGGAAGAAGGACCAGAAGTTGCTCTTTCAGTCATGTTTATTGAAAGACGGGAAGATGGGGGCGGGGGTTGTGGCTCCCCCTCCAGAGAAGTGACATCTCGGTCCCCTGGTCAACACAGCTCAACCTATGAATGTCAGGACCCCCTGTAAAGGAAGAGTCGTGCTTGAGGCACCCGCATCCCACCCTCCGCAGCCCCCCACGAGCATCTGGACCCCTGCACACACACCAGGTCACTCCAGTGCATTCCCACAGCAGGGAGGCCTCTAGGAGCCGGAGAGGTGGAGCGCTGGGGTACTGGGGGTACAGGATGGGAAGTGGGGTGCAGTGTGGGAGCTGGGGTTCAGAGGTGCAGCGTGGGAAGTCGGGTTCCGGGTGCAGCATGGGAAGTTGGGTTCCGGGTGCGGTGTGGGGCTGGGGTGCTGAGGAGATTCTGTGGGGGCAGAGGGGTGCTGGGCGCCCACATTACCAGCAGCTTCTTCAAAGCCATCACGGACTCTATGGCCTCGGGACCCAGCTCGGCCACACACTTCTGGGTGCCTTCCACCAAGTGCTCCACGGGGATGCCCGCGAGGCTGAGCAGGAAGCGCAGGGAGTTGAGCCTGTGCAGGAGGGGACTGGCCAGATTCCCGACCACCTTGGTCATGGCGGCGGGACTGGCCAGGTTCCCGACCCCCTTGGGCACGGCGACCACAGCCTGCACCGGGTTCAGCTTGCTGGGCAGGAAGGAGGCAGTCACTGCACACACAAGGCAAAAGGCCATCAGGACCCCTGAGAGACCTGGGCCCCCAGAACAGCCCTGTACCCGCTGCCCTGAGCTAAGTCAGGGAGGCTTGTCTGGGGAGAGAGCACGCTAGGGGCTGGGTGGACAGGGGGACCCGGGATAGGGGACAGGGAGAGGATGGAGCTTCCCAGGACCGGCACAGGGACACCCAGCGGAGAAGGTGACCGGAGACAGGGAGCCTTCAGAGGACCTCAGCCTGCAAGAGAGTAGCCAGGGGCAGCCTGGAGAGAGATGGGGGGACACGGAGGTCAGGCACCCACCGGAGTGGCCGAGCAAGGCCACGCAGGCAGCCAGGATGGCAGCAGATACGAAGGGCTTCATGGCGAGGGGTTCTCCAGGGATCCCGTCGCGGCCTGGTCGGGCGCAGTCCCTTATATAGCCGGTCTTGGCCCCTCTCAGGGGCTGGGGTCTCCCACCCTGACCTCCAAGAGAGATGCTGTTTGCTCAGCCAACAGGCAGGGCCCTATGAGACTTCCTGCTGGTGGGGATTAGTTCTGGGAAACGTATGCCCCCAACCCTGCCCAGGCTCCAGGACTTCCTCTTGGCAGCGCTGGAGCCAGACCTTGAGGAAGAGCTTGGTCTGTCCGGCTGGCCACCTGAGCCTTCCCAGAGAACATTCTTTTCTGTTGTTGTTCGGGGGCCACGTCTTGCTCAGGGCTGACTCCTGGTTTGTTGTTCAGGACACACTTCTGCTCTCAGGGACCACTCCTGGCAGGGCTCAGGGGACCTTATGGAATGCTGGGAATCGAACCCAGGTTAGTCACATGCAAGGCAAGTGCCCTCCCTGCTGCATTATTGCTCCAGGCCCTGCCATGACTGTCCGTGGACGGTTCTGTTCAAAGGTTGTGGAGTTGGGGTCTGGAGGGCCGGCAGCGCCGCTCCTGGGCACCTCAGCGGCCCGTCCCCTGCTATGCAGAACGGGGGGAACTCAGAAAGCCCCTTGGGTGGAGAGATCACGCAGGACGGCGGGGACCAGCCATCTATCCACACTAGGGCGGGGGCGGGGCGGGGCGCGGAGGTGCCATGCTCAGGGTGAGGAGTAGCGTGCCTTGGGCAATGTTTGCAGGGTGCTGAGGCCAAAACCAACACTGGCACTCGGCCTGCTGCTTTGGGGAAGAGGGATTGAAGGTAGCCTTGGCAGGGGGCCAAACACCACATGGGGACACCAGACCAGGTGGGGGTGGTCTGGCCACAGATTGAGGGCCTCTGTGCCAGTCCCCTCGACTCTGATTTCCACTCCCTTAGAGTCTCCCCCAACCCCAGCGACACTAAAGAATATCCTATGAAGCAGCAGGTAGAGGTGGTCAGGGGTGGGGGCCATAGCAACGTGATGGGATTTGTTTCGGGGCGGGGGGGGCACATCCAGGGCCCACTCCAGGCTCGGCACTTACAGATCACTCCAGGTGGGGCTGGGTTGAGTACACAGGTGCCAGGGTTTGAACCCGGGTGGGCATGTGCAAAGCAAACATCCTACCTGCTGCACTATTGCTCCCGTCCCCAGCAAGACTGGATTTGCAGAAGTGACTGTCCCTGGCCCTAAAGTAGCCCAAGGCATTATGGTTGGACCCACCTTGTAGACACAGGAATTGAGGCCTAAGATGACCATAACTGGTGCCAGTGCAGGCCCGGTGCTGGCCGGATGCTCTCCCAGCCGGCAAAAACAGCATAGGAAGGCAGGCACCGGAAGTTCCAAGGTCTTCCCCTTGACAACACCCTTGCAATGGACTCTTTTTTGGTGGGGAGAAGGCGGCCACACTTAGCGATACTCAGAGTTACTCCTCGCTCTGCACTCAGGAATCACTCTTGGCTGTGCTCAGGGGACCATATGGGTTGCCAGGGATCAAACCCAGGTTGGCTGCATTCAAAGCCAAGTGCTTACTGTGGTATTATCTCTCCAGCTCCAAGCAATAGATTTTTATCTCCAGAGAACGTTGGGGGGAAAAAACCCCTGTAAAATCAACTTTGCAGCGCTGGAGAGATAGTACAATGGGAAGGGAAGTTGCCTTCTACACAGTCAACCTGGATTCAATCCCCAGTACTCTATATTTGTCCCCCAGGCCCTTCCAGGAGTGACCCTTGAGCCATAGAGCTACAAGTAAGCCCTGAGTCCCACTGGGTGTGTCAAGCTTTTTTTTTTTCCCAAAAATCAAATCAACTCTGGCAAGACAAGCAGTGTTGCCCAATCTAGGGGAGACCTGTATCCCCACCTGAGATGGGGTCTCTTGGCTCACTCCCCTTGGAAAAAGGCCATTCTCTCTCTCTCGCTCTCTCTCTCTCTCTCTCGCTCTCTCTCTCTCTCTCTCTCCCACCCCCTTCCTCATCATCTCTAAATATAAATCTATTTGACTTCACCCTTCATCTCCCTGAAATTCTGTACCATGGAGGAAGGTGGTGGACCCTGAAAGGTCTGAGTTCGGTTTAGGACTGACGTTTCTTTCCTGCAAAGAGCAATTCCTCTCTCCAGCCTGCCTCTCACGGCCGCCTGAGAGAAATCAGCTGACGAGGTTCTGCCTCATGCTACGGTGCAGAGCAAGTGGAGCCCACTGCAGTCGAACGGCCACCTCCTGGGACGCTGAGGTGTGAGGTCCTTCCTGTGCAGGTTCACTGAGGACTCTTCTCAGTCCGGGATTTTCCCAGACACTCCCCTGTGGACAGAGGTAGTGGGCGGGAGCCTCTTTCCGCGCCTGTCTCTCCCACTGCACATAGTCACCCTCACCCTCATCACCTGCAGCACATTCTCCTCCCTCTTTCCTGCTTTCCTTGGGTGGTAGAGGGTTGGACCACGTCCGGCGGTACCCGGGTTTACTCCCATTTCCGTGCTCAGAGGTCACTCCTGGTGGTGTTCAGGGATCCCTGTGTAGCACTGGGGATTAAACCGGGGTCGGCTACATGCCCACAAAGCGCCTTCTCTTGTGTGCTCTTCTGGCCCCTCCCTTTCCTTTTATATCGTGCCAACATCTCTCCCTCCCTTCCTCTTTCCCATTCTTCCTTCCTTCCCCCTTTTTTACCATTCTTTCTCTCTCTTCCTCTTTCTCTTGTCTCCCTCCCTCCCTTCCTTCCTTCCTTCCTTCCTTCCTTCCTTCCTTCCATCCTTTCCTTCCACCTTCCTCTTTCTTTCTTTCTTTCTTTCTTTCTTTTTCTTTCTTTCTTTCTTTCTTCCTTCCTTCCTTCCTTCCTCTTTCTTTCTTTCCCTTCCTTCCTTCCTTCCTTCCTTCCTTCCTTCCTTCCTTCCTTCTTCCTTTTCTTTCTTTCCCTTTCTTCCTTCCTCCCTTCCTCCCTCCCTTCGTCTCTTCCTTCCTTCCTTCCTTCCTTCCTTCCTTCCTTCCTTCCTTCCTTCCTTCCTTCTTCTCTCTTCACACCCAGCAATGCTCAGGGATTATATATGTCTCCGCACTCAGGAATTACACCTGGTAGTGCTTGGAGGACCATATAGGATGCCATAGATCAACCTTGGGTCAGCCACGTGTGAGGCAAACACAAGTGCCCTACCCCCTGTGCCCCCGCCTCGGCCAGCATTTCTGCTTTCGTCTGATGATTGCTAAGTCTCCGCGGGCTCAAACGTGCTAACCCCACTTCCTAGGTAGGATGCCCAGCCCATCCTTCTCAGTGTCTTTGGACTTGAATCTCTGTTACAGGGTCTTGGTGACCACATTATCTGTCTTGGTTGTGGAATGTCTTTTTCTCGGTGTGTCTGGGTGACCGCATTTAGCATCTTGGTGACATGTCCAGGGTCTCGGTTCCCACACAGGACACCTTGTATCCAAGGCTGGTGCCTTTGTCACTGCACAGTACCAGAGTTTGTGCAGAGTGCCTCGATGCCCCGTTTGCTCTGGGCGTAGCTGTGAGCATTCAGGTTCCAGGCTGAGCTGGACCATAGCCAAGAGGCACCTTAGCTTGTGCTGCAGGGCCAGCTGTCTGCTCGGCTGCCCTCATGCACCTCTGAAGCCCAGGCTGGTGAAAGGTGCCCCCTCTGCCCCTTCCCAGAATCCGGAGCTCCTTTGCCATAATTCAGTCTTGGAAACTGCCCCTGGACCCCAGCCTCATTTTGGGGGGTTCCCCCACTGTGAGGACAGGTTGGGAGCAGTTGGGGTGGGAGGCTGGGCCAGACTTCTCCCCCTGGATTCCCTGCACGGTTGGTCTGATTTCACTGGGGAGTGGGGGGAGCTACCCCAGGCTGGGGTCAGGCTGCAGGTGCCGGACGCATCTGCCTGGCAGAGACTGAGTCTCTTCACCCCAGGGTCACCCTGGGAACTCCAGCCAGCGCCTGCCTGGGCCCCTCCACTTCCTCATAGCTCGGTCACTTGGGCTCTCACCTGGCCCCTGCCCACTCCCTCCCTTTCGTCAATATTGATCTGCAGGAAGAACATTTCCTTCTGTGCCCACGTTGGGGGCTGGGGGGGCATGAGGGAGGGCTTGGGCCGCGGTGGGGGGCGGGGCGGGGCTGTTCAGGGCAGCTGCCCAAGCCAAGCTGTCTCAGGGTTGAACGACCCTTCCCATGTTTAATTTTTTTGTGGATTTCTCTTTTGAGGGAGGCATGCCCTGCGCTGGTCGGGGCTTACTCACTCCTGGCCCTGCTCTCAGGGGTCAGTCCTGGGGACTCAGAAACGCTCTTCAAAATAGGTTCAGAGAGACAGAACAGTGGGGATTCCTCCTCCTCCTCCTCCTCCTCTGTTCTTTTCTTGTTTGTCTTTTTTTTGGCCACACCTGGCAGCACTCAGTGCTCACTCCTTGGTCTGTGCTATGTGGTGCTGGGGGTCCAACCTCGCCATGCAGTCTCTCCGTCCCCCTGCCAGCCCCCTTCTTATTAAGAGGGGCAACCCAAGACCATCGGTGTTCTGCCCACTCAGGGGAGGCTGTCCCTTCCCTATCCCACCCCAGACTGCAGCCCCCGTCGACAACTTTCTGGGTCACCTCCACTGGGGGAGAGCAGACGCCCACCAGGGAGTGAGCGGTCAGGCCTGAGTGTGAGGGGGTCACCCCATCCCAGGCTGTGGACCCAAGTTCCCCCCAGCACAGCCACACCTGCTGCACCCCAAAGTGCGGCTGGAGTGGATGGGAACAGCCCAGATCGCCATCAGGCTGGCTCTGAGCTGCGTAAGGACAGGGCTGTCTTCCCCCCTCTGGGAAGTGATGGGGGGACACTCTTACTTCCCGGGGGTGCCCACCTAGTGGCCCTGGGCAGCGCTAATGGCTTTCCTGGCAGCTTCCCAGAGCAGCCCCGAATGTCAGCAGGAGCCTCGCCTGGCTGGTTCCTGTCCCTGCGTTCCCAGGAGGGCTGTGTCTGCACTGGCTCTCACCTCATCTCACTCCAGCGCCTCTATGGTCGCCCTTG